TCCTCCTCCTCCTCCTCCTCCTCCTCCTCCTCCTCCTCCTCCTCCTCCTCCTCCTCCTCCACCTCCATCTTGCCGGGTCTTGCGAATCGACCCAACCGACGCTACCTCGGCGCTGGTCGACGCTGAATCGGTGCTGTCTCATCGGTTCCCAGACGCTGATCGATGCGAGTGCACTCTAGAGTCTGGAGATAGAACCACGAAGGTGAAAAAGGCTCCCATGATTTGTCAGCGAACGATGCAGAGCCTGATCGCCGAGCTTGCACCACATGGGGTTCTCGAAGTTCTCCCCGTAGATGTCCGCAACGAAATCCTGGCTCCAACCGCTCGCCGGGAACGGCAGGATGTAAGACACCCGCGGCACCCGCACGTACCTGCCGCCGGCTCTTGACATTGGCCCCCCGCCCTCCCGGGGAGCGGTCTGGCAAGCTTCCCCAGGCAGATCCAAACGTGGCGGCGGGGGGCCCCCCAAAGGAGTCGCCTAACGGCGAGTCGCATCCTCCTCTTCCTCCACCCCGCCATGGATTCCGCTCAGAAGTTGTCCCTGCACCCCTCCCCTGCAGTATCCTGGCCCGCTTTGCGATCAGCGTCCAGTCGTGGCGACGAGAAGGCCGCCCGAAGGCCCAGAGAAAGGGATGAGGGAGGGATGAGCGATGAGCGATGAGCGATGAGGGATGAGGATGATGATGGTAATGTTGATGATTGTTCTGGTGGTGATGATGATGATGATGATGATGATGATGATGCTGATGCTGATGCTGATGCTGATGCTGATGCTGATGCTGATGCTGCTGCTGCTGATGATGATGGTGGTTATGATGTTGATGCTGCTGATGATGCTGATGAGGATGATGATGATGATGCTGATGATTATGATGCTGATGCTGATGCTGATGATGCTGCTGCTGCTGATGATGATGATGATGCGAAGGAGGAGAAGGAGGAGGTCGACTCCCTGTCATGCTCTCCGTGTTCCTCCTCCTCATCCTCCTCCTCCTAAGATGGGGGGGGCGTACTCGAAAGTCAGTTCGCCGAAGTAGTCCTCGCTGTTGAAGGTCATCTGAACTGGCACAGTGCCGATGCACTCCGTGCCCGCAGCTGCGGCGACTGCAGCCAACTCCTCGACTCCCTTCTCATCCTCCTCCTGCCCCTGATGCATCCTTCTCCAGTTCTCCCTCCTTCTCCTCCTCCTCCTCGTCGTCGTCGTCCTCCTCCTCCTCCTCCTCTACCTCATTCTCCTCCCCTCTAATGTTCATGTTTCCCCCCCCCCTCCTTCTCCTTTCTCCTCCAGGTCCGCCTCCTCTCCGCTCTCCTCCTCTTACATTACTCCTCCTCCTCCTCTTCCTCCTCCTCCTCCTCCTCCTCCTCCTCTTCATCATCATCACCGCCACCACCATCATCATCATCATCAGCAGCATCATCACCACCATCATCATCATCAGCAGCATCATCGTCATCATCATCATCATCATCATCATCATCATCATCATCATCATCATCATCATCATCATCATCATCATCATCATCACCATCAGCATAACCATCACCATCAGCAGCAGCATGATCATCGGCATCATCAGCATCATCATCATCACTCAAAATTCCTCCTCCTCCTCCTGCTCTTCCTCCTCGTCCTGCTTACTCCTCCTCATCCTCCTCTTCCTCCTCCTCTTCCTCCTCATCATCATCATCATCATGATCAGCATCGCCATTATCATCACCAGCATCATCATCACCACCACCAGCATCATCGTCAGCAGCATCAGTGCCATGATGATGATGATCATCATCATCATCATCATCATCATCATCATCATCATCATCATCATCATCATCATCATCATAATCATCAGCATCAGCATCATCATCATCATCACCACCATCATCATCATCATCAACATCACCAGTATCATCACCATCATCATCATCAGCATCATCATCATCATCATATGCATCCTCATCATCATCAACATCATCATCATCATCAGCATCATCACCATCATCACCATCCTCAGCATCGCCATCAACAGCATCATCAGCTTCATCATCATCGACATCATCATCATCATTCAACCTCCCTCCTCCTCCTCCTCCTTCTCCTCCTCCTTCTCCACCTCCTCGTTCTCCTCCTCCTCCTCCTCATCCTTCTTCTCCACCTCCTCGTTCTCCCTCTCCTCCTCCTCATTCATCTCCCTCTGTCCCTTATCCACCTCCTCCCAATCATCAGCTTCCTCATCCTCCGTCTGCTTCTGCCCAGTCCCCTTCCTCCCCTCCTCCTCCTCCTCCTCCTCCTCCTTCTCCTCATCCTCATCACCCTCCTCCTCCTCCTCATCCTCCTCCCTCCCGTCATCTCCTCATCATCATCCTCATCCTCATCCTCAGCATCATCATCATCATCATCATCATAATCATATCATCATCATCATCATCCCATCTTCATCATCACATCATTTCATCATCTCATCATCCATCATCATCATCATCATCAGGCATCATCATCATCATCATCATATATCATCATCATCATCATCATCATCATCATCAATCATCATCATCATCATCATCATCATTCATCATCATCATCATCATCATCATCCTAATACTCCTCTTCATCCTGTACCTCCTCTCCTCTTGCCTCCTAGTCCCCCCTCTCTCCCTCCTCATCCTCCTCCTCCTCCTAATCCTCCTCCTCCGCCTCCTCCTCCTCTCCTCCTCCCCCTCCTTCTCCTCCTTCTCTCTCCTCCCTCCGTCCCTCCTCCTCATCCTCTTCCTCATCCTCCTTCTCCTGTCTCCTCCTCTCCTCCTTTCCTATCCTCCTCCCCTCCTCCTCCTCCCCTCCTTACTCCTTCCTCCTCGTCCTCCTCTTTCCTCCTCCTCCTCTCCTCCTACTCCCTCCTCCTCCTCCTCCTCTCTCCTCCTCCTCCTCCTCCTCCTCCTCCTCCTCCTCCCTCACCCCATTCTCCCTCCTCTCATCCTCCTCCTCCTCCTCTCCTCCTCCTCCTCCTCCCCCTCCTCCTCCTCCATCTTCCTCCTCCTCCTCCTCCTCTCAGTCCTCCTCCTACTCATCCTCCCTCCTCCGCCTCCTCCGCGTCCACGGTCCCCTCCTTTTCCTTTCCTCATCCTCCTCCCTCATCCTAACCGCTCAGCCTCTCCTACTCAAGCTAACCTCCTCATCCATCTCTCATCCTACTACTCCTCGCCTATCTCCTCGTTCTCTCCTCTACATACTCTCCCTCCTCCTCCTCCCGCCTCATCAGCCTTCTCCCTCAGCCTCAGTACTCTCCCTCCTCCTCCTCCTCCTCGTCCTCCTCCTCCTCCTCGTCCTCCTCCTCCTCCTCCTCCTCCTCATCATCATCATCATCCTCATCCTGCTCCTCTCTTCCTCCTCTTCCTCCAACTCGTCCTCTTCTCTCTCGACCTCATGTCTGTTGTTCCTCCTGCGTCCCTTCTTGCCCGCCCATCCCCTGGCCGCTGGTCGAGCTCTCCGTGCCTGCACTCCCCTCCTGCGGCTTGAACTTCCGCTGTCAGAGAGGCCCCACCACCTCCAGCTTCACCCTCGCCTCGCTCATAGCTCATAGCCGCATCCTCCACTCCCTCCCCATCCTCCCCCTCCGCTGCCATCGCCGCCCTCGCACCCAGTCTGACTCTCGTCCCCTCGCGCGCCAGGCGCCCCCGCGCTCGCGCGGGCAGTGCGCAGGCCTGGGGAAGGCGGACGCGCCCGCGATCCCGCCTCCACCTCCTCCTGCTCCTACCTCCCCGCCCTCTCCGCTCCTCGGAGCTGTAGAATGCGTCCTCGCACGGAGGCGAATAGCAAAAGATGTCGCCAGCGTCGGTCTGCTTCGCGAACACGAGCTCGTAGCCGAAGCGGCACTGCAGCGTCGCGGTGAAACGCAGGCCGTCCATGGTGACGAAGACCTGCCAGGGGAAAAGATCTGACCACGTCCGCCTTCCTTGGCCCCAGGAAAGCGACCGAATAACGAACTCAGTGTTGACCAGCGTGGGCCAGAAGCAGTGGGCTATTGGTGGTGTAACCTGTCTTACAGTATGTGGTGCAGTCTATGCCATGCGGCCTCGAGAACCAACGAGTATGACGTATACGTAAGTGGTAGGCCGCGTATTGGTCGCAGCTTGCGTCGTAGCAGTCGTCATCGTGTACTCGCAGTCGTCTCGCTGTAGTAGCCCCAGTAGTCGCGATAGTCCCTTGAGATAGTGCTGGCTAGGGACATGATCAATATCATTGCCTCCACCGTGCCTCCAGGCACGAAGACGAATGTCCTCGGGCCCTTTCGAGTTCGCTGCGTTGAAAAGTGTGGAATGCTCTCTACGGGGCCCACAGCCCGGAGTTCCAGGCGCTCCGGGCGCTCTCGGGGGTTCCCCGCGTGACCTTCCCGGAGGCAGGTGGGCTCGCGAGGGCCCCAAGAGGCCCCAAGGACGGTCCAAGAGGGCCCCGAGTCGCCGAGAGATCGCTCCAAGACGTCCAAACTGGTCTCCAGACGGCCCAAGGAGGCCCCCAAACACGCCCCTCAAGAGGGCCCCGGAGAGGCCACAACCACTGGTTGCCCAACGATGATTGCAGGATGCTGGCGGTCTCGCCTTTTCGGGCTGCTCCAAGAAGGCCCACGAAGCCCCCCCAGATCGCCCCAGGATGGTCGGAGAGGCTTCCAAGAGAGCCACCTGACGGCCCAAGAGGACTCCAATACGACCCAAGACGGTCACAAGATGGGGAACACGAACTTATATTTGGGCCCTCCGCCTAAAGATGAGACCGCCAGCATCAAAGCAGCCCCCAAGGAGCCCCAGGAGGCCCCAGAGAGTCCCAAAAGAAGCCCCAAGAGGCCCACAAGACGCCCCCAAGACACCTCCACAATTGCATCCAAGAGGCTTCCGAGATGCCTCCCAAGAGATCCCAACCGGCATCCAAAATACCTCTGACCTATAACCCAGAAGCGGTGGCGGTATGCACAGAAGGCACTTTGGTATCATTAGCAAGGGTGGTAACACTAGTCACTAGCAGTGCTCAAAACAACGCTAACGCGATATTTCGGCATCGGAAGCGGAGGCAGTGCAGGTAGAAGCGCTGGCGCTGATCGTAGCAATCGCGGTGGTCGTATGAGCAGTGATCGTGCTAGTGTTAGGTCGGGCATGTCCCCCTACAGTCGGATTCTGGACGACAAATAAAAAACGAGTCAAAAGTACCCCCCCTCCAAAGAAAGAAAAATAGTACAAAATCGTCCCCAGGTTACTTTTTGAACATTTTTGGGATGCTCCTCCTGTAGAGGAACACGCCCGACTGAGCAGTCTTGCGTGAAGAGTAGCACCTTGTCTTCCGGCGCTGCTCCCGCATAATTAGCCAACCTCTGGTGCAGGCCCTTGGGCCCTCCCCCGGGAGGGGCAACGAAACGTCTGCTCGACGCCCCGCTTGATGGACCGGGGCCCCACGAGTGGTGGGGAGTGCAAGTTCCTCCGCGGCACCCGCCGCACAACCGCGACGACGACCACGACCACGACCACGACCACGACCACGGCCACCGATTCCGATTGTAACCTCCATGAGAAGACGCTCGCGCATCCTCTCGCGTGTAGGGTAGCCCACACTTGATTACTGCCCGGGAGAAAGACCCCCCCCCAACATTATGCAGCCCGCCCAAGGATGGAAGGACAAGTATTTATGCCGCGACGACAATGACGACGACGACGACGCCGACGACGACGACGACGACCACGATGAACAGCAGGAGGAGGACGAGGAAGAGGGGGGAGGAGGAGGTGGAGGAGGAGGAGGAGGAGGAGGAAAAGGAAAAGGAGGAAGAGGAGAAGGGGCAGGAGGAGGAGGAGGAGGGGCGAGTGTGTTCCCCCCGAGTAAAACAGGGGGGCTTGCAACACTAAAGTCCTCCTGAGGTCAGTTGTTGCACAATGGATGCGCCACATCTGTGGAGCAACGGTGCAAGCTTTGTGACGCACGCTGCAGGGTGCAGTATCGGTGTGGCGCAAGCTCTGGCGCATGTTCTGCCTCGCGCACGCCTTTTCCCACGTGGCGCAGGACGCGATGTGCCGCGTCCTGTGCAGCGCAGGCCACGCGGTGCAGTCTGCAGCGGACCCCTCGCGGGCGCCCAGGGGCGCCCACCAGTCAGCAGGGGCGCCCCTGGGCGCGCACGGGGCACCTACGAGCGTCCACCAAGGCGGCAGCTGCGGCGGGCCCGGCCAGCACACGCGGGGCGCCCGCGAGGCGCCCACGTTGGGCACGACCTCGGCGGACCCCGCCAGCACACTGGCACGGGGCGCCCGCGCGCGCCGACGAGGTGAGGCGAGACCACGGCGAGCCCCAGCCAGCGCACGGGGCGCCCACGAGGCCCCCACGGGGCGCCCCAAGACAGGCCAAAGCCTGGCGGACCCATCCAGTAGCACCTCCCAAGACACGCAGGCTCCTTTCGGTGCAGGCGCTGCTTGGAAACAGAAGGATCGACACCCAGCTGGCGCACCCAAAGGCCACTCCCCGCGCCTCTGGGCGGTGACCGCCGGAAGACCCGGCAACCCCAGCCGACTCCCTTCGAAAGGGGCACGACGCCCTTAAGCAGCGCGAGCGCTGCATGGAAAGAAAAGTAACGAGGGCATCACCACTCTGCCCGCCCAGGGCAGCTGAAGAGTTGACCGCCTGCACCACCCAAGGGCAGTTGGAGAACCTGCGGACACACATCCGCTCCTCCTCCTCCTCCTCCTCTTCCTGCTTTCCTCCTCTTGCTCTCCATCTCCAACTCCTCCTCCTCCTCCTCCTCCTCCTCCTCCTCCTGGTTCTCCTCCTCCTCCTCCTCGGCGCCAGCCTGGGTGCCGCCCAGACGGGAGCCCCGTGGAGGCTCGAGTATCGAGAGGTCCGGCGTCTCCGTGGACTCGAAGGTGAGGCCCGTGTCCAAGAAGGTCTGGTCGTCCACGGTGTAGAACACGCTGCGGTTGCCCGGGGGCAGCGCCGGGCAGGCGCACTGGATGAGCCCGCCGTCGATCACGGATGCCGCCGCGACGGCGCCCTCCGCGCCGTCCCCGAAACGGCAGGACAGCATCGGCGTGCCTGGAGGCTGGAGGGAGACAAAAACAGCATGGGCACAAACTTTCGGAGGTCCGCGCGGTTTTCCTGGATCTGCGCTGAGGACCCCGCTCCTTGGCGCGTGGAGCGCGCCAGTGCATGGGGGCCCAGCGCCGATCAAAGCAATCCGCGCGGAGCTCCGAAAATGTACAGATGTTCCTGCGATTTGTTCTTCTTCGAGTGCCCACGAAGCCCGCCCCGAAGAGCACGACGCCGGTGCTGCCAGTGCTCAAGCCCTGCTGCGGTGAGATCGCCGTGAACGTGAAGGACCCGAGGAAGGTATAGACGTTCTGCAGCCGCGTCGACGTCTGCCCGCCGTCGAAGGTGAGGTCGACGGTGACGTGCGCCGGAAACGCCATGCCTCGGACGGCACGGGCTTCTTTGAGAGGGGAAGATGTATTCGATTTCGGCCCTCAGCCGCCTCTTTCGGGCCCTAGGGCCCCAGGGCCATGGCAAATGGATCCAGGACGTCAAACCACCCCCAGGGAGGGGGTCGTGACCCCTGGGGCCTAGATGTCACACAAGACGACAATATCGGATGTTTGCGCAGGAGCAGCGGCGTGCGCTGGGATTGCCTTGTCATATTCCTCCTCCTCCTCCTCCTCTTCCTCCTCCTCCTCCTCCTCCTCTTCCTCCTCATCATCACCACCACCACCACTACCACCACCACCATCATCACCATCACCACCACCGCCGTCGTCATCATCATCATCATCATCATCATCATCATCATCATCATCATCATCATCATCATCATCATCATCATCATCATCATCATCATCATCGTCATCGTCATCGTCATCGTCATCATCATCAAAATCAGCACCACCGTCACCATCACCATCACCATCACCATCACCATCACCATCACCAGCACCAGCATCAGCATCAGCATCAGCATCATCATCATCATCATCATCATCATCATCATCATCATCATAATCATCATCATAATCATCATCATCAGCCACAAATCACCACCATCATGCTCATCACCATCGCCAGCGACATCACCATCACCATCCCCATCCTCATCCTCATCCTGATCCCCATGCCCATTTCAATCCTCGTCCTCATCGCCCTCCTCCTCCTCCTCCTCCTCCTCCTCCCCCCTTCTCCCCCCTCCTCCTCCTCCTCCTCCTCCTCCTCCCCATGACCATCACCATCACCGTCGTCATGGCCATCGTTGCCAGCATCGTCGTCGTCACCAGCAGGAGCATCAGCAGCAACGTCCCACCGAGAGGCACCGCGTCGGCGGAGGCCGGGGCAACTGCCGACACCGTGCGCCGCTCCTGGGCGGGCCGCTCCCGGGCCCCGGGGGCCGGCGCGCGTGCCTCCCAGGGCCGAGCCGTATCACGAGACGAGCACGGGGGGCGGGGCGGCGGGGGGAGCAGCGGACTGGGCCCAGGGCGGGCCGGCTTCGGGCGCTCTCCAGCCTCTCTTCTCCTTCCTTCACTTCCTCACCACCTCAACCTCCTCCTCCTCCCCCCCCTCGCTCCCCATTCTCCATCCTCACTCATTCCTCTCTATTCCCCCTCCTCCTCCTCCTCCGCCTCTTCCTGGTCGCCCGCCGCTCCTCCCTCTTCGCCTCCTCCCCCTCCTCCTCCCCCCTCCCCCCTCCCTCCCTCCCCCTCCCCCCTCCCTCTCCCTCCTCCTCATCCCGTCCTCCTCCCCCCCCCCCTTCCTCCCCCTTCTCCCCCCTCCACCCCTATCCCCCCTCCTCCTCCTCCCCCTTCTCCTCTCCACCTCCTCCCTTCCTCATCATCCCTCCTTCCTCCTCCTCCTATGCTCCTCCTCCTCCTCCTCTCCTCCTCCTCCTCCCTCCTCCTCCTCCTCCTCATCCTGCCTCCTCTCAGCCCTCCGCCGCCTGCTCGCGAGAAGCAAGCATGGTCTGCATGTGGCCGCGCACCCTGAGCGACCCCGAGACGGCGCGGCGCGACAGGTGCCCTCCCTCTTCCTCCCACTCCTCCCCTCCTCCTCCTACTCCTCCTCCTCCTCCTCTTCCTCCTCCTCCTCCTCCTCCTCCTCCTCCCAGTGTCGAGGCCCCGCGCTGCGACCCTCGTCCCATCGGGTGGCGTAAGCCCAGACATGCTGACGTCCTGGGAGAATCAGGGCGGGAAGTGTTTGGCCGTTCGGGGCCCCTGGGGGCCCTTCCCATCGGGGGGGCGTAAACCCAGACATGTCCGCGTCGTGAAAATATCCAGGCGAAAATTTGTTGGCCACTCGGGGCCCCTGAGGGCCCTTACCGGGCCCCCGGGCCCCGGGACTGTTAAAAAACGGTTCAGAATGAAGCACCGGTCCTGGGGAAGAAGGGTCGGGGTTTCCAGGAACCCCGTGCTGAAAAAAAAAGGAATCGCATGTCTGCCAGCCAGGAGGCCTAGGGACACACAGACAAATATATAGAAATCCTCGGATTCCCCATGTTTTCCCATATATTCTAGACTTTCGTTTTCCCCCCACTACCCATATTTTTCCATATTTTCTGGGGACCGACGATGAATCGTGTCTGTTTTTTTTCCTCCTGAGTCTGGGTGTGTGTGGTTTGCGCCCACCAGATGCCGTCCCCGATGTCCGCCAGGGCCGGCACCTTGCAGGAGGCTTCCAGGCTGCTCTGCACCGCCATCTGCGAGTACGCCCTGCCAGCGAAGATGCAGAAGGCGAGCGACTCGTTGGGCGGCGGGCTCACGAAGTTGTAGCCGCTGATTCTCAAATTGGTGCCGCCCGCCGCGAGCCCGAGCCGCGGGGAGAGGACCAGCATCTGCAAGTCCCGCACGGGCGCGTCGTGGTGCGTGAAGGTCAGTACGTGGTCCACCGGGATCCAGATGAGCGGGTCCCCGGAGAAGCTGACCTCCAGGTTCAGGGGCATGTCGGCAAAGGCCTGCTCGAGCGGCTCGAACTTGAACTTCCCGGGGACGTCGCAGCGCAGGACGCTCGAGCTGAGGACCTCCGCCCCAGAGATGTGCACGCCCTGCCAGCGGCAAAAGGACGGCACCGGCGACGTCGGGAACTTCTCGCCGTGCAGGCTCACGCGGTTCACGCCCGTCAGCAGGCCCAGCGGCGGCTGGATGGCACCGAACGTGGGGTGGGCGTAGTACTCGAAGCCCAGGGGCTCGCTCCAGGCGACGCCACCGTCCATCGAGAACCTCCAGCAAGGGAGGAGGGGAGGAGGGCCCGAGCCTCGCAGGGGTGAGTGACAAAGGACGGGCGAATGGGCCAGCAGCTGTGCTTTGGACTCCGCTTGACGCGCTGCCGCTGCAAACTCTGCTGGGCCAGGCGCAAGAGAGGAGGAGGAGGAGGAGGAGGAGGAGGAGGAGGAGGAGGAGGAGGAGGAGGAGGAGGAGGAGGAGGAGGAGGCGGAGGAGGAGAGGAGAAGGGGGAGGAGGGAGGAGGAGGCGGAGGAGGGGAGGAGAGGAGGAGGCGGAGGAGGTAGGAGGAGGAGGAGGAGGACGAGTAGAGGAGAGAGGAGGAGGAGGAGGAGGAGGAGGAGGAGGAGGAGGAGGAGGAGGAGGAGGAGGAGGAGGAGGAGGAGGAGGGGGGAGAAGGGGGGCGGAGGAGGAGGAGGAGGAGGAGAGGAGGAGGAGGAGGGGAGGAGGAGGAGGAGGAGGAGAAGGAAGAAGAGGAGGAGAAGAGAGGAGGAGGAGGAGGAGGAGGGGAGGAGGAGGAGAGGAGTAGAGGAGGAGGAGAAGGAGGAGGAGGAGACGGGGGAAGGAGGAGGAGAGAAGGGAAGAATGGGGGAAGGGAGGAGGAGTAGGAGGGAGGGAGGAGGAGGAGGGGGGGGAGCAGAAGGAAGAGGATAGAGGCGCCGGAGGAGGAGGAGGCGAAGGAGGAGGAGGGCGGACGGAGAAGGAGGAGGAGGAAGGAGCGGGGGCGAGGGGGAGGAGTGGAGGCCGCGGTGGGAGAGAAGTTCTCCTCCTCCTCCTCCTACCTCCCTCCTTCCTCCTCCTCCTCCTGCCTCTTTAACTTCTCCTCCTCCCTTCTCATTCTCCTCGGAGCGTTGAGCCCCCTCCTCTTCCCTCTTCCCCCTCCCTCGCCCCGCAGCACTCCCGACGCGGCACCAGCGACTCGCGGACCGGCTGGCCGCCTCGGACGAGGAGCGGCGCCCACGGGCTTCCCCAACGTCATCCTCTCCTCTCCTCCTCCTCCTCTCCTGCCTCACTCCCCTCCTAATCTCTCTTCTCCTACTATCTTCCCTCCTCTCCTCCTCCTCATCCTCCTCCTCCTCCTCTACCTACCCGTCTCTCCTCCTCCTCCTGCCTTCTCCTCCTCCTCCTCCTCCTCCTCCTCCTCCTCCTCCTTCTCCTCGGAGCGTGAGCCCCCTCCGCGGCCCTTCTCCCCTCCCTCGCCCCGCAGCCCTCCAGTACGCGTGCACCGCGCCTCCGCGGCCGGGCTGCCGCTTCGACCGCGGCGCGGTCGCCCCACGGCCGCAGATACACAGACTGAAGCGTCTTGACGACGTTGGAGGTCTAAGGAGGAGGCGGACACAGAGGAGGACAAGGAGGGATGAGGACACGGAGGGTTGAGTAGGAGAGTAGGAGGGGGGAAGGAGGAGGAGGAGGAGGAGGAAGAGGAGGAGGAGGAGGAGGAGGTGGGAAGAGGAGGCGGATGAGGAAGGAGGGAGGCGGGAAGATGAGGACGACGACCAACTCGGCTGCGGAGCGAACAGCGGGCGCAGGTCTGAGGGGCCAAGGTGTTCGGACGGGTCCCTCGATCGCGGGAGGAGGACGACATTATGGAGCTGGGGAGACGCAGTCGAGTCCAGCTGAGCCCACCTCGTGAAGTTTGACGTGCGACCTTGCAGAACCCCGGAGAGAAGGATTAGGAGAGGACGAGGAGGGAGGAGGAGGAAGAGGAGGAGGAGGGCCAGAGTAATCCAAAACGCATCAAGGACGTTGGAAGAAGTTATCACTCCAAGCTCCCCCTTCATAAACCCTTATATTATTCGCGGGGAGTTACCCGTGGTCTTGCCTTTTTTGGAACAAAAAAGAAGACAAACCATCAGGTACTCCCCGAATCGTGGCAACACATAACTCCAGGGACTTCAAAGACGCGAATCAGCGTGACGATTGCGTCGCTGCAGTCCTAAATCGTGCCGTATCACCGTTCGTAGGAGGATGGCAGCACAACAAATCGATGTGTTGATTGCGTCCTGTCAATCCTAATTCGTGCCACAACACTACTCCTGGGACGGAACCTCATGAATCCGTGAAGCTGCTGCAAACGTTTGCGACGAATGCGGGCCTCGCCAAGGCGAAACACCCGCAGTTTGAAAAGGAGCCGCCCTCGCTCGTGAGGAGTGAGGAGGAGGAGGAGGAGGAGGAGGAGGAGGAGGAGGGGAGGAGGAGGAGGAGGAGGAGGAGGAGGAGGAGGAGGGGAGAGGAGGAGGAGAGGAGGAGGAGGAGGAGGAGGAGGAGGGAGGAGGGAGGAGGAGGAGGGGAGGGAGGAGCGAGGAGGAGAGGAGGAGGAGAGGAGGAGGAGGAGGAGGAGGAGGAGGAGGAGGGAGGAGGGAGGAGGGAGGAGGGAGGAGGGAGGAGGAGGGCGAGGACGAGGACGAGGAGGAGGAGGAGGAGGAGGAGGACGAGGAGGAGGTGGAGGGAGGGGTGGAGGGAAGGAGGGAGGGAGGCGGGGTCCGCCTCCCCCGAAGCTGGTGCAAGCTCGTGCAACGACTGTGCGCGGCGCTAACGGCGAGCAGCACAACAGTTCGAAAGAGAGGCCCGCCCTCCATCTTCGGAGCTGCTGCGCACGTTGACGACACAAACGTGCGCGGCGCCACGGCGAGAGCCTCGCAGCTGCTGCAAAGCATCCGCTCCCCATCCCTGACACAGTTACACTTATGATGCTCCAGCCGATTTTGGCCTTGATCACCGGGAAGAATTCGAGCGCCCCAGAAAGTACCGAAACTCAATGGTTTTCACGTGTCGGGCCTTGGGGAGACACTCGCCCGACAGTGTTTCGACACTCTCTTGACACTTTTTCGGGTGCTCGAAATTATTTCTGGGATGCGGTCCTTGACTAGGATGGGAGCAACAGAAAGCTACACCATTCTAAATCCCTTTCAAGCGACGCTAAAGCGGGAGCCACATGCTGAGAACGGACCGCCCTACATCCTCGAACATGCTGCACAATTCAGACTTCAGGATCATACATGGTGAGCAAGTCCCAGCCGAAATTAAAAGCCCGCCCTACGGACACGTCGGGGGGATGCGTCAGGGAGTACCTGCTGATAAGAAAAAGGATCGAGGAAGAGGAGGAGGGGGAGGAGGAGGAGGAGGAGGAGGAGGAGGAGGAGGAGGAGAGGAGAATGTAAAGAACATCAAAAACTCAACCTCAAGCTTACGGAGAGGTCTGCACCGCCTTCGAGGATCGGCACGGCCCCCCCGGAGCGCCACAGGCACCGCCAGCTGGGCCTCCCAGGATTCTCCTCCTCCCCCTCCTCCTCCTCCTCCTCCTCCTCCTCCTCCTCCTCCTCCTCCTCCTCCTCGAGGGTACCAACACCACACCGATGCCGCTGCTCCGCAGACCTCTCCTGGGTCCCGGGGCGGAGTTCTGACCAGAATCCCGCAGAGACTCCCGCCGTGGCGACGAGGACCCGCACCAGTACCCATTCCTCCCGTGAGAGGAGGGAGGGGGAGGTGGGACAAGGAGGGAGGAGGAGGTGAGATAAGGAGGGAGGATGAGGAGGAGGAGGAGGAGGAGGAGGACGAGGCGGAGGAGGAAAGAGAAGGAGGTGGAATGATGGCGGAGAAGGAGGAGGCGGGACGATGATGATGATGATGATGAGGAGGAGGAGGAGGAGGATGCTGATGATGATGAGGATGAGGATGGTGCTGATGATGAGGCTGATGATGCTGATGATGATGGTGGTGGTAATTCTGACGATGGTCATGATGACGGTGGTGGTGATGGTGATGATGTCGACGATGACGATGACGATGATGACGATGATGCTGACGTTGATGACGATGATGATGACGAGGATGATGAGGACGATGACAAACATACTGATGATGGTGATGATGGTGATGATGAGGATGACGATGGTGATGATAATGGTAATGATAATGACAATGGTCATGCTAATACTGATGATGCTGCTGATGATGCTGCTGATGATGATTGATGGTGTTGATGATGGTGCTGCTATTGATGGTGGTCGTGTTGACGATGATAATGCTGGTGATGCTGATGGTTATGATGATGATGATGCTGATGATGATGATGATGATGGTGATGATGATGTTGACGACGATGATGATGATGATGATGGTGATGACGATGATGACGATGGAGATGACGATGACGATGACGATGATGATGATGATGCTGATGATGATAGTGATGATGATGGCGATGATGATGATGATGATGATGATGCTGCTGATGTTGATGATGATGATGATGATGCTGCTGATGATGATGACAATGTTGATGATGCTGATGGTGATGATGACGATGCTGCTGATTATGATGAGGAGAAGGAGGACGAGGAAGAGGAGGAGGACGAGGAGGAGGAAGAGGAGGGAAGAGGAGGAGGAAAGAGGAGTAGGAGAAGGAGGAGGAGGAGGAGGAGGAGGAGGAGGAGGAAGGATAAGTAGGAAAGAGGAGGAGGAGGAAGACGAGGAGGGGAAGGGCAGTGGGTGAGGAGTCGGCGGCGGAGCTCTGCAGGTACACGAGCCTGGCTGCTGGCATTCGTGAGAGTTTGCAGATCAGCCCAAGTGCCAAGAGTGCTTGAGCTATGTTCGTCGGTGCTGTCGCGCGTGGGGGGGCGGGGGATCGGGCGCGCCACGGCGAACCCAGCTCGGAGGTATCCCAAGGGCCAGAGGGAGGGGAGGAGGGAAGAGGGGGAGGAGGAGGAGGAGGAGGAGGAGGAGGAGGAGGAGGAGGAGGAGGAGGAGGAGGAGAGGAAAAGGAGGAGGAGGAGGAGAAGGAGGAGGAGGAGGAAGGAGGAGGAGGGGGAGGAGGAGGAGGAGGGGGAGGAGGAGAAGGAAGAGGAAGAGGAGGAAGAGGAGGAGGAGGAGGAGGACGAGGAGGGAAGAGGAGGAGGGACGAAGGGGAGGGAGGAGGAGCAACAAGAACCTGACCGCCACCTGCCCCGCCTGCACCACCGGCGGCGCGCGGCACCGAACGACCATGAGGGTCGCCACGCAGGTCGCGGGCACCTGCGCCTCGCCGAACTGGCAGAGGCAGCGCGTGCGAGCGGGCAGGCTGCCCAGAGTCCGCAGGTCCACGTCGACACCCTGAGCTCACAGGGAATCCTCCTCGTCCTCCTCCTCCTCCTCCTCCGCTCCTCCCCGCTCCTCCTCCTCTCCTCCGCCCCTCCTCCTCCTCCGCTTCCTCCTCCCTCCTCCGATTCTCCTCCTCCTCCCCCTGCTCTCCTCCTCCTCCTCCTCCTCCTCCTCCTCCTCCTCCTCCTCCTCCTCCTCCCTCCTCCTCCTCATCCTCCTCCTTCCCTCTCCCCCAGGTCCACGTCAGATCCGCCGTAATTTGGCTGATTCTCCGACACGATCGTTTCGGAAGCGCACCCCAAGCGATGCGACAAATGAGGGCGGAGATCCACGCCATGGAGAAGCAGGGCGGATCTTCCCGCACAGGCATGGCGGAAACAGCGACGGCAAGGTAGGGCGGAAATCGACGTCAGAGGAGCTTGACATGTGGGGCGAACGTTGCCGCCCTGCTTGCGAAATCGCCCCAAATACGGCGGATCTGAAGTCAGGGAAAATCGAAGTTGTCGGAGCCTTGAGGCTCGAACCTCTCGGACGTTGTCGGCTCACAGAGGCTCATCCCCCGATCGCTTTCCAGCAGCTGTACCTCGCCGAGCGCGCTCTGGGGATGACCCCGTCGTCCCGAGCGGCCGCAGGAGATCCACGCATGGCCAAACGCTGGACCTCCTCCGAGCTCACAACAGGGACCCCGACCGCCTGGACCACTCCCCCGGGGCCAGGCTTTTTATCACGAGCCGATGTTCAACTCTGTCGCAGGTCCTGGCGAGGGCCGCCGTGGGCCGAAGAGGCCGTCCGTCCGTCGTGATGTTTTCAAGACAGGAGGAGGGGGCCGTCTCGTCTATTTCTATGTTTTCTAAAGAAAAAGCGGCGGGAGATTTTTGGCCGTATTCGGCCGCCAGGGGGCCAGGGGCTCCAGGACCGTCAGAAGACGACCCCAGGAAGAGAAACCAGGGGTCCACAATGTGAGAAATCACAGCGATGGAGTGCTGAGGGGGAGGGAGGCCCGGAAGGAGAAGGAGGAGGAGAAGAAGGAGGAGGATGAGGAGGAAGAGGAGGATGAGGAGGAGGAGGAGGAGGAGGAGGAGGCAGGAGGAGGAGGAGGAGGAGGAGGGAGGAGGAGGAGTGGAGTCAGGAGGAGTGAGAAGGGGGAGGCAGGGAGCAGGAGGAGGGAGGGAGGAGGAGGAGGAGCAGGAGGAGGAGGAGCAGGGGGAGCAGGAGGAGGAGGACGAGGAGGAGGAGGAGGAGGAGGAAGAGGAGGAGGAGGAAGACAAGTGGGAGCAGGAGCAGCATCAGCAAGCAGGGGGCAGGACGGCGGGGGGAGCAGGAATACGAGGAAGAAGAAGGGGAAGAGCAGCGGCGGAGGAGGGCGCAGGGAGGAGGAAGGAGCCTCCAGAGGGCCGCGCTGGGGGCTCACGCTCACCAGCGGGTAGTCCAGGTCGTGCTCGTATGTCAGGCCCATGCCGGAGTGGAACCACGCGGTTGGGTCCGCGCCCTCCCCGAGGCCGAGGAGAAGCGGCTGCGAGAGCTCCATTTCCCTCCTCGGCGGAACAGGAGGAGGACGATAATGCTGATAATGCTGCTGCTGTCGCTGCTGTTCAGGATGATGATGATGATGATGATGATGATGATGATGATGATGATGATGATGATGATGATGATGATGATGATGATGATGACGATGACGATGATCATGATGATGAGGAGGAGGAGGATGATGCTGATGCTGAGGCTGATGCTGATGATGATGGTGGTGATGATGATGTTGATGATGATGATGACGATGATGATGATGATGCTGATGATGTTGATGATGATGATGATGATGATGATGATGATGATGATGATGATGATGATGATGATGATGATGATGATGATGATGATGATGATGGTGGTGGTGGTGGTGGTGGTGGTTATGATGATGACCAGAAGGAGGAGGGCAAGGCAATTCTCGCACACGTCGCTGCTGCTGCCCAGACGTCGCCCGAAAAGATGTGTGTGTGTGTGTGTGTGTGTGTTCAAGTCTGCGGCCAAAGAGGTCCTGGCTCCGTTCCCTGGCGAAGATTTCCGCCCCAGGCTCATTCTTGATGGGCCCGGGGACAGACAGCGGCCCCTGGGGGCAGAGATCGAGGAAAAACGCCAGGACGGGAAGACGTCATATCGTCGGAGGTCTGGGAACCGTCCCGCCCAAGTCCCCTCGTCACGAGTTGACGCACGTACTTCTTGCCCCTTCTGCGACGAGGCCAGAGGGGTGGTCACCACCAGGAAGGGCTCGCCACTTCCTGGAGGAAGCGCCATTGCCTCGAGAGAGCGAGGCCCCCCAGAACACTCCAGAGCCTTCCAAGACGACCCCAAACGTCCCCCAAAAAACTCCTCGACCTTCGATCCAAAACCCCCGACGTCATGATTTTCTCTTGACGCCGGCCGCCGGCCCCCGGCGGTGTCGACACATTCCCCGGGACCGGCTTTTCATCCCGGGTCGTTTTTGATGACCCCGAGGCCCGGTAAGGCCCCCAGAGGGGGAAAGTAGCGAACGCCAGCCCGCCGTGATGTTTCCATGACGCCAGGGGCTCTGGGCCCGAGGGGCGGTGAGGATACTTCGCTGGCAATTTCAAGGCCAGGGCTTGAGGGCATTTCGCTGCCAGCTTTAAGCCATGGTGTGACGATATGTCGCTGGAAGTTTACATGTTAGCTGGGAGTTTTAGGCCAGGGGGTGATGATATTTCGCTGAGGGGTGTGAGGATATTTCCCTGGTCGTTTTAAGCCAGGGCGGTGAGGATATTTCGCTGCCAGTTTTAGAGCAGGTCTGAGGATGTTTCGCTGCTCGCAGTTTTAAGGGACGGAGGGGTGTGAGGATATTTCGCAAGTCAGGGGGTGGAGGATATCTCGCTGGCAGTTTTAAGAACAAGGGGCTGAGGATACGTCGCTGGCAGTTGGAAGTCCAGGGGTGAGGATATCGAGCTGGCAGTTTAAAGCCAGGGAAGGCGAGGATATCTCGCTGGCGGTTTCACGCGAGGGGTGTGAGGATATGTCGCTGGCAGTTTTAAGGCCGGGCGGTGGAGCCATTTTCCACACGTATCAAGCAGCACCATGTGCCACGCATGCGCGGTCACACGATGTGCCACGCTCTCTGCGCGATAGCGGAGAAGGAAACTGCTAAGGAAGCGGATGATGATGATGAGGAGGAGGAGGAGCAGGAGGAGGAGGAGCAGGAGGAGGAGGAGGAGGAGGAGAGGCAGGAGGAGGAGGAGGGAATAGGAGAGGAAGGAGGCGGCGGAAGTAAGAGCCAGAAGAGTTGGACGACGGGGGGGATGGGTGAGAGGGACGACGGAAGACGAGGGCGAAGAGGAGTTGGCGAAAGGCGGGGGTCGGAAGTAGGGCCTGAGAGGAGTCGTGGTCGGTGCAGGCATCCACGCGCCACGCGATGCACTGTTGGGTCTTGCCCTGCCTGGCCCAGCCGAAGGCTGCGCATGCAGCGCGGTGCTGCGCCCGTACATCTGCTCGCGCCTTGGCGTGGGGCTGGCCGGGGGCCAAGGGGCGAGCTGTCCGTTGCTTCTCTTCGGATTTCGGCCCCCCCGAGGGCCGTTTTCGGGCCCCGGGCCCATCACACACAGATCCGGGACAAAAAACAGGCACCAAGAAAGGGGTCGGGACCTGAACGATCTAGAGCCTCGGATCGAAAATCTCCGAGACCCACCCTTTCTCCGTGCGAGGCGGCCACGCAACGCCGTTCCCCGCGCACCGCCCCCCAGCTCACGCACACACCCTCGCAACTCGGACCGCCACAGCCACGGCGGGGGCGACAGTTGCGCAGGTGGCAGCCAGGTGCGCAGATCGCGGCGCTGCGGGAAGAGCGGGGCCGCGCTTGGATCCCCATGACGCTCGCCCCCATGCTCGCAGCTTGGCTCAAGGATTAGGGATCAAGAGATCGAGCGGATCTAGTGGATCCCTCTGTAGCAACCACTGCTTCGTAGCAGTCACTCTTACTACTTCGCGTAGTCTCCTGTCGGAGTCATGTCCGCTCCTGCCGAAGTCCCGGGAGTGCAGAAGCAACCATTCAGCACTACCCCGCTGGACTCCCGGAACTCCCGGGAGCTCACGAAAGTGACGACTGTTTCCCAGTCCGAAGCCACGGCGAAAGGGCGACGTTTCGTGCGGATCCCCGCATGGCACTGCTCCGCTGGACCTCCCAGGGGCCCACGAAAATGACGACTTTTGCACAGCTCGCGGCCCGCAGAGAGGCCACGGATCTGGACCTCCCAGGCGCTGACGAGAACGGCGACCCTTGCGCAGAGCGCAGCTGCGCAGCCCTGCGGAGGGGAGGGCGAGATCTCGCGTGGCACATCGTGTGGCACCACTCCGCTGGACCTCCCATCCCAGGAGCCCACGACGAGGGCACCGACTTCGCAGCTCGCAGCCCCGCACGGAGGGCGAGTTCCGCAGCTCGCGGTCCCGCTGGGGAGGGCGACATCTCGCGTGGATCCCAGCAGGACACCACCCCGCTGGACCTCCCATCGCAGGAGACCGCAAAAGTGGCGACACTCTTGCGCAGTTCGCGGCCGGCGAGGTCTCGCGTGGGAGCCCGTATGACACCGCTCCGCTGAACCTCCCAAGAGCACAGGAAGAGTGGCGACTGTTCCGCAGTTCGCGGCCCTGCAGGGAGGGCGGCCTCGCTTGCATCCCCATTTGACGCCACCCCGCTGAACCTCTCAGGAGCCCGCACAAGTGGCGACTATTATGCAAATTCGCGTCCCCGCAAGAGAGGACGAGCTCTCCCCATGATCCCCGTATGACACCCCTCCGCTGGACCTCCCAAGAGCCCGCGAAAGTGGCGACCCCTGCGCAAGCGGCAGCCCCCCAGCAGGGAAGGCAGGAGGCAAAAAGTGCGAGGAAAGCGAGAATCTCGTCCGGATTCCGCACGACACCACTCCAGTGGACCAATCCAGGAACCCACGAACGTGGCGACCACTGCGCAGTGCGCAGCCCCGCGAGGAGGGCGAGGTCTCGCCCGCATCTCCGAGGGACACCACCCCGCTGGACCCCCCAAGGGCGCCCACGAGCGCGGGGGACCGTTGCGCAGTGCGCAGCCCCGGGGGAGTGGGCGAGGTTTCGCCCCCGGCCCCAGACATGCGACGTCCTGATTTTTTCTGGACGGCGTCCCTGGAAGTCCCGACCATTTCCCCGGGGCCGGTTTTTCGTTCCGAATCGCTTTCGGCGTTCCCGAGGCCTGGCGAGGGCCCCCCGGGGCCGAAAATGGTGAACAACCTCGAGTCCTGATGGCTTTGACGACGCGATCATGTCTGGGCCCGCATCTCCGAAGGACACCGCACACGCTTGGGCCTCCGAGCAGCCCGCAAGAGAGCGGCGGCTCATGCTTTCAAGGCGCGGTCCCGCGGGGTCCGGGCGAGGGCTCGCCTGGACACCCGCAGGACATCACTCCGCTCGACCTCCCACGAGCACCTGACGAGCGGCGAGCGCTGCGCAGTTCGCGCCCCCCCGCGGGGAGGGCCCGTGAAGAGTGGTGACGGTTGCGCAGGTACAGAGGCCTCATGAGAGCCCCGACGAGTGCCCAAGATGGCCCGAAGACGGCCCGCGGGCCCGAGGATGCCCCCGAGAGGCCCCCACGCTGCCCAAGATGGCCCTCAAGCTGCCCCAAATCCAGCCACTCTGTGGCTCAGCCTTTGGAGGTTGGCGACAAGAAGGGCCGCCCTTCGTAAAAGGGTGCGGTGCAAATGGACATGTTAAGATCACACGGCATTGCGACATAGTCAGCGATATGCTCCGCCGTGTGAGTTGCGCATCCCACGGACGTCAAGAACATGCATAGTTCGCATATGCTTTTGGCGATGCCGACCCTGCGCGTATAATGCGAATGGGCTCAACGCGTGATGATTGGAAACCGGAAAAATATGCAGTCGGCATGTCCATCCAAAGCGACGCTCAGTGATCCCAGAGGTTCCAGAAGTCAACGTGTACTTTGATGTATGTAGCGACGCTCCCGAATTACATGCCTTGTGCTGAGCGCATGATAGTACGCCTGCATTCCGACAATCCCCGCCCGTCAAGGACCGTGCTGTGTCGACCTGCCGCCGGCGCTTGCGAAATGGAGCCGACGCGCGCGCTTCCCGTGGTCCGCATGCCGCCGCGGCGCAGTTCCATCGACAGGGCTTCCGCAACTCGTCACGAGATTCCCCAAAGTGTCGAACCACGAGAAGATGCTGTAGAATTTTCACCATGGGAGGCAAACCCATTCGGAATTTCAGACACCCGCTCTCTTGCCAGTAGGAAATTCTGGAATCACGTGTTCGCCGATCGGTCTCCCTGGAATGGATCTTTGCGCCACCCTTCAGGTTCGACGACGGTCACTCGGGGAAGTTGGGACAAAGAAGTCTGACGTGACTTGAAGCGGCCGGTACAGAGCCAAAACGCCTCGTATGTCTTGAAGATGAAGAAGGAACATGGAATGAAGGAGGAGGAGGAGGAGGAGGAGGAGGAGGAGGAGGAGAAACAGGGGGAGGAGGAGGAGGAGGAGGAGGAGGAGGAGGAGGAAAAGGAGGAGGAGGAGGAGGAGGGGAGGAGGAGGAGGAGGAGGAGGAGAAGGAAGAGGAGGAGGAGGAGGAGGAAGAGGAGGAGGAGGAGGAGGAAGGAAGAATAGGTGGAGATGAAAAGGGTCCTCCTGGTGGTACCGTTGGCCTCGACGAAGAGTGGAAGCGGCTTCACCTGGCACACCACCGCACCCTCGCCCAGCACCACCGCTCCTGGACGGCGCGATCGAGGGAGCAGGCCGGGTGGGGGGTGGCCATGACCTCGGATCCGCCGTACGTTCGTCGCTTCTCCGACTTGCAGTTGGGCCGGGCATAAGCGGTGCGGAAAAGTAGAGCGGACCTCTCCTCCCAGAAGGGCGATTCGGACAATTAGGTCGGCAGAGGTGTGGCGGCAACGGTGATGGCAAAGTAGGGCGGAAGTCGAAATCACAGGGTCTGGCAGCGCAGGGCAGGAATTCCGCCCCAGTTCCGAAATAGCCCAGCAAGCACGGCGGATCCAGAGGTCAGGAAGGCACGGTGAGCAGATCCCGACCCTCCCCCTTCCACGCCTGCCGACCAGCAGACCGTCGCGAGGGGCAAAACAGGGTATACACATACACCCTGCGAAATGCTTAAGAAATCATGGGTTAAGAAATTCATGGTCTCAGAACTTGAATAAAAACCCAACATTTCCATCAACATCTTAGGATTTACATTGAAACGTTAAGAATAATCGAGACTCTGGCCGAAAACTTAGGTTTTCTTAAGCATCGCCTACGGTGTACACTTTCAGGGAGCTCCGCGCGGATTTCGCCCCCTCCCAAGCGCGGGGAGCGCCAGGAGCGGTGCCAGAGCGCCGCCAGGCGGGCTTCTGCTTGTGCAGCTCTTCGTCCCTCCAGGAGATCACTGAGTCGGGCCCCTGTTGCACGGCCCTGCCTGTCACTTACTTGGCTCCAGTGCTGATCCAGGCTTGCGCGTGTCTGTGCGCGTGTGTATATATATATATATGTATTTGTATATACGGCGGGCTCCGAAAACCCTGAACCCAAACATGTTGCCATGGCGCGCCGCAGATAATGCGGGTTAGATTTCCGGGGGGTCAGAGCCAGCGAAGGGCAAACTACAGAAAACAAAAGCTCAGATACAGATACTGGCCCAAGCAGTCAACTTCCAAAAGAACTGCCAAGGAACAGCCAATAACTATTTATATATGTATATATATATATACTAGAACCATCGCGCGCTTCGCGCGCGCGCTCAAGTTCTAGCTGGGCTTGATTGGCGAACACATGGAATATCATCCTTGTCGTTTTCTTGCATCCAGGGACTCTCTTGGAGGCCCTGCGCAAGCCTCGGAATCGCATAGAAGGGGAACTGCGGAAACGCAACAATCAGTAATTGTCGTTCTGGGGCCCTCGAAGGCTTGCTGGGTTCTTTTCTGGGGCCTTAATTGTGGTCTGTTGTGCAAGAGTAGACGAGTAGACAGGGGGGCGAAGTTGGAAAACAACGAAATGGTGGGACTTCCCTGTTTTTCAAGTTGTAGTGCCTGGGTTGTGGGTTAGACGTTTTCTGCATGCAGGCCACGGTCTGTTGGGATGCCTCAGGGTCTTCGAGCGAAAACAAGCAGGGGTGAGTTTTGTAAAACAAAACATTCTAAAATTCCACTGCTTCAACTCATGGGATAATTGGATCTCGATTTCTACGATGGTTTCAGGGGCAGCCAAGAGGACACGAAGACGATCCAAGAGAGTGCCAAGACAGCGTCAAAGAGTTCAACAGCATTCCCGAAACACAGTTGCATGTGACCCCGAAGTCTTGATGGGGCTCGAGGAAGAGAATAGGGAGTAGGAGTCCCAACTTGAAAAAAAAGAATATCTGGAATTCCCGTTTTTTATAATTCCTCGGTCTTGGAGCGCTAGGAGCCGGAAAACGTGAGAAGGCGAAAAAAGTCGTCACAAACCACTGAAAAGCAACGATTTAGCCCTCTTCAAGCTCTCTCGGGACGGCTCTCGAAGCTCTCTTGGGCTGTTTTGGGGGCCTCGTCGGAGATTTTGGGGCGCCTCTCAAGGGGCTGGGGTATGTTGGAGGCCTCTGGGGGGTCCCGGAGTCCTCTCAGAAGTCTCTGGAGGTCTCCTGCTCCCGCTCTTGCGCTCATCTTGGGCCTGTTCTGGGGTGGTCTGGAGCTGTCCTGGGCGCCTCTTCGGCAGTCTTGGGGCCGTCCTGGCCCGTCTTGAGGCCGTCTTTGGGGCCTCTTGGGCGGTCTCGGGGCAGTATTGGGGGCCTCTTCGGCTGTCTTGGAGCGTTGGAAGCATGAAATGGTGAGAAGGCCAAAAAAACATCGAACCAAAGCAGTGACAATTAACGATGTTAGGTTCTCCGGGCGCTCTCGGGAGGCCTCTCGAAGCTCTCTTGAGAGGCCTCCTGGGAGCCTGGAGAGCCGCCCGAAAGCTATCCAGGGTTGCTTGGGAGCGTCTTGGGCAATTCTTTCACGTGCTGGGTGCTTCTTGGGGTCGTCTTGGACTGTCTTTGGGCATTTGGGGGGCTCCCCGGGAGGCCAGGAAGCGCGGTACTGGGAGCGTACACCAGATGTGAGCGAGGTGGAGGACGCCTCGGGAGGGGGGCGGGCATATTTGTTTGTTTATATATAATGTGCTATTAAATATTTATACAGATCGTGGAATAAATGCGGCCCCGCAGATAGAAAACCCAAGAAACTGAGCTTACCGCTTCCTGCTTTTCCTGGCACTCAAAAAGGCTGAACCCCAAGAGCAGGCGAAGGAAGCACTCATCATAAGTTACAGCCAGCCCGTATGAGAAGGACGCACGATAAGGATGCAAGTGCCTTGGACGGCCATTTCGAAACTCCTCGAGCGGGGTGCGGCCAGCGAAAGTGGCCAAGGATGGACCGACGGGGCAAGGATGCAAGGGTACCCATGGAAAGTCGCTAATCCTTGCTATGCGGGTTAACTATACCTGTTCCTGCTCCTCCTGACCCCCAAAAGGCTGACGCCCACTAGCAGGCGAAGGAGGAGGAGGAGGAGGAGGAGGAGGAGGAGAAGGAGAAGGAGGAGGAGGAGGAAGAGGAGGAGGAGGAGGAGAAAGAGGAGAAGGAGGAGGAGGAGGAGGAGAAGGAGGAGGAGGAGGAGGCGGAGGAGGAGGAGGAGGTGGAGGAGGAGGAGGATGAGGAGGAGAAGGAGGAGGAGGAGGTGGAGGAAGGAAGGAGGAGGAGGAGGAGGAGGGAGGAAGAAGGAGGAGGAGGAGGAGGGAGGAGAGGAGGGAGGGAGGTGGGGGAGGAGGGGAGGACGAGGAGGAGGAGGAAGAGGAGGAGAATGAGGAGGAGAATAATAATGAGGAGGACGAGGATGAGAGGAGGAGGAGGAGGGACGAGGAGGACGAGGAGGACCACGAGGAGGAGAGGAGGACGAGAGGAGGGAGGAGGAGATGAGGAGGAGGATGAGGAGGGAGGAGGAGGAGGAGGAGGAGGAGGAGGAGGAGGAGGAGGGAAGAGGAAGAGGAGGAGGAGAAGGAGGACGAGGAGGAGGAAGGAGGAGGAGGAGGAGGAGGAGGATCAATTTTTTAGAACAAGGAACACGGCATACATTGAAACTTTTGGCGCTCCGCGCGGATTTCTTGGATCTGCGCTGGACCCCCTCCCTGGCGGGCGGAGCGCGCCAGGGGCGGCGCCAGAGGCACCGCCTTAGGGGCCCAGCGCGGATCCAAGAAATCCGCGCGGAGCGCCAAAAGTTTATGCTTATGGCATTCTTCGTCTTCGACACATCGAGCCGCATTGCCGATGCATCGGCGGGGCTCGAGGCAAGGCAGCGTCGCCGGGTGTGCAGCACCGTGCGACGCCTGGACCTCAGGGCACGGCAAGCTCGTACCGTGCCGACTTCGGCACTGGTCTCTGACACCGCGTGGATCGTTGAACCTGGCCATGTCCGAAGCGTCACATCGCTCAACGTCGGCGGGTTCTGGGCCGCCGCCGGCGTTCCACGTCGAGCGCACGACGCGAGCCTGCCGAGCTCGGAGCTCGGGGCCTCCTCGCCCCGCCCCCCTCTGTGCGCGCACGGCCGAGCTCCGGTCGCCGCTGCCAGCGGGTGCGCGGTGCCGCAGAAGGGCGGGGAGAAGCTGGCGTCGGCCTTGGCCCAGGGCCCCTCGGGGCACCCGCCGCCGGCCGCGTCCAGGCTCGCGCCGAGCAGGTCCTCGCCGGCTCCGCCGCCAGAGTGACGCCCTCCTCCTCCTCCTCCTCCTCCTCCTCCTCCTCCTCCTCCTCCTCCTCCTCCTCCTCCTCCTCCTCCTCCTCCTCCTCCTCGGGCAGTGCAGTCGAGCTTCCCCGAGGTCCAGGCGCGTTGCGATTTTTGCACGCGCCCAGGTTCGGGTCCCGGGGCCATCACAGATGCATCCGGCTCGAGGCATACAGCAGACAGAGTTCGGGCCTAGGGTTCCGCGGTCGTGGTTTTTCGCGATGGTGCAGCCTCGTCGCGACCTGGGATCTCAGGGTTCCGCAGGCGGGCCTGCGCAGGGAGCGAGGGCCCGCCCTGGATCTCTTCTCGCCGTGCAGAAATCACGGCGGCAAGTTCTTGGCCGTTTGCGGCCTCCCGGGGCCCTCACCAGGCCCCGGGACCGTCGAACATCGTGTCGGGACGAGAACCATGGTCGGGGGCAAGGCGCCCAGACCTCCGGGGGGGTCCACGCTGTGAGACGCTGGCGACGTCGGAGTTCTGGGCCGAGCTTCTACCAGAAGGGGCACCACATCAGGAGCGAAGCCCCTCTTCTGGCCCGAGGAGCGCCCGGGTGCACGAGGAGCGCCCGAAGCACAACCGTGGAAGGACCCAAGGAACAGGGAGTCCCTTTCCCAGACGTGCGACGGCCTGATTTCTGTCGGTGCGGGGCCCCTCAAAATCCCGACCCCTTTCCCGGGACCGGCTTTTTGTCCTGAGTCGTTCTTTGACGGTCCCGAGGCCCGGCGAGGGCCTCCAGAGGCCGAAGACGGCGAAAAACCTCCGTCCTGATTGTTTTAGCGACGCGAGCATGTCTGGGTCTGTAACTACTAGAGCGGTGCCTTATCTCAGCGTCCAGTTGTCTGTCATGCACGGCCTTTGTTGCACAGCATTGGAGGCGAAGGGGGGGAGGGCACCATACACCCCCTCTCTACCAGGGGCACTACAGTCAAAATTGATAGCAAGGATGTGGGATATGGATGCAAGCTTGGTCGCCTATGCCGAAGCTTTTCGAGCGGGGCTCTGGCCACCGAAAGTGGTTGAGGACGGGCCGAAGATGACCGAAGAGGCAACGATGCAAGGGTACCCTTGGGAAGTCGATCATCATTACTATCAATTTCGATTGCAACTCAACAGTGGGGGTGAATAAACGCACACCTTCCTGCAGTTGCTGGCGGGCCCGCGGTGACAGTTTAGGGGCCGCGCAGGGTCCCGTCAGGGCCACAACTCAAGGGGCCCAAGGACACACAAATAAATACACACAAATAAAATGATTCCCCATATTTTCCTATATTTTCTGGGTTTTTGTCTTCCCGCCCAATTCCCATATTTTCCTATATTTTCTTGGGGGCCGACGATTAACTGTGTCTGTGTGTCTTTTCCCCTCCTGAACAACCTCCTGTAATCCTCGCTCCTTCCATGTTCACTGCCCTCTCGTTGCCGTCCGCCCGACGCTCTGACGAAGGGTTGGAGGCGGCCAGAGAGTCTGAGCTGGTTCGACCCCGAGAAGAATAGTGGGGGGGAATGAAAGCAAATCCGCTCAGAATCTGTCCCCGGACCCCCTCCCGGGGCCCATCTGGTGCAATTTTCCCCCCCAGATCCGTTTCTGACGGTCCCCGGGCCCGAAAAACGGCCCCCAGAAAGCGAGAAATGACGAACACCTCCTCGAGCCCAGAACCTCGAACCTCTTCCCCCCGTCCTGCTCGCCAGAACCAGTGCTTAGGACGAGAATGGTGTCATGATAGGGCTGGCCCAGGACACTTACGCCTCAGGATTTCCAGAGCACCTATAGCGGCGCTCGCTTCTGCAGCCCATGTGGAGCATTTGGACATCCTGGGAACCCTGGAAATCCGAGGACCCTTGGGGAACCCGGAGAGCGAAAAAGTCAAAAACCTTGTCGAACATACCGCCTCGACCCTTCCCCGCCTTTCTGCTCGCCGCCAGTGCTGGGGCCACCTCAGACCCCTGGCCGACTCCAAGCGAAGGGTCACTGTTGCGTGCGCCCCACGTCCCCAAACATGATCGCGTCGTGTTATATATATATATATATATATATACATATATTTATAACAAATACTTGAATATATTAATAAATACATGAAATAAATCATTAAAAATAAATGCATACATACATACATACATAATGAATGCATGAATTAATGCAACAATAAATAAGTACATGCATAAAACATGAATGCATAATTAAATGAATAAGCAAATAGATAAAGAAATACATACATAAGTGAATACATACATACATAGATTAATACATAAATAAATAACAACAGCTTTTCGCCGCTGGAGGCCCTCGCCGGGCCCCGGGACCGTCGAAGAACGACTCGGGATGAACAGCGGGTCCTGGGGAAAGGGTCGGTACTTCCGGGGACGCCGCACTGGCACCATCACGCCGTCGCATGTCGGGGTCTCCATGCGTGGACCCCCCAGAGGTATGCACAACTTTTCTGTGTGGAGCTGGCCGTCTCACCCCGAATCGTCTTCTGAAGGTCCCCGGGGCTCCTTGAGGGCCCCCCCCCAGACATGCGACGTTCTGATTTTCTCGGGACGGCGTCCCTGGAGGTCTCGACCCTTTCCCCGTGACCGGTCTTTCACCCTGCGTCGTTCTTTGACGGCCCTGGGGCCCGGCGAGGGCCCCCAGAGCCCGAAAACAGCGAAAAACCTCCGTCCTGATGCTTTACGACGCGAGCATCTGGGCCTGGAAGCCGAACGTAGCCCCCAACCGGCCGCTCCAAGACTTTCCGGAGCACCGGGGTCTCTGGGGGCACTCTGGCGAAGGGCCCCTCTTGCGCGCGCGCTCCGCCGAGAGGGGGCGCCTGTGCCGCCGATCCCTGCCGCTCCTCCGGCTGGGGGTTGCGCGGGAGCCGCGAGTGCCATCGTGAAGTGATATATTATATAGCGCAGTGCGTCCCCAGACATGCGACGTCCTGATTTGTTTTCGGTACGGGGTCCCTGGAAGTACTCCCGACCCTTCCCCGGGACCGTTTTTTCGTCCTCAGTCGTTTTTGTTGACGGTCCCGAGGCCCGGCGAGGGCCTCCAGAGGCCGAAAACGGCGTAAAACCTCCATCTTTTTTTATATACAAAAAAAACGCGAGCATCTCTGGGTCCTGAACTCCATGAGAGAGATGGGTGCGAGCATTCGTTGTTCATGGCGCTGCGCAGGACATCCGTCTTGGCGCTCCATCTGGGGCGTCCCCCGCCAAATCCCGACCCTCTCCCAGGAGCCAGCTGCTCAGCCTGAGTCGTCCGTTGACGGTCCCCTGGAAGACGTGAGCCTATTTTGCGTTAGACGCGAATGGACTCGCGGCACTCCCGTTCGAGCGCTGTGCGCGAGCGACCAAAACAACCAGTTATAGGCATGAGCAAACGCGCGGCGCCCTCGCCTGCACGGCGTGCTCGAGTGTCCCGGGGGCCCGGCGAGGACCTCCCGGGGCCGAGAGCGGAGGAAACAACGCCCGTGCGGACGCTGTAGCGATGCGATCGTGTCTGGGGAGTGCGAGTCGGCGGCGAGCGAGGGGGGGAAGTGAGACCGAGGAGGCCTTCTCAGAAGGCGGCGGGGCTTCTCAGAAGCCCTCGCGCCTTCTGCACATTTTCTTGCGTCTTCGGGGAAGGCTTAGACAACTTCTCGGAAGGCCGGTGGGCTTCCGAGCCTTCTGAGGAGGCCCGCCCCTGATCACTTTCCCCCCTCGCTCGCCGCCCAGTGATTCTGTAACCCATACCCCCCACGTCGTGATTTTTTCACAACGTCGACCCCCGAAGGTCTGGACGCCCTCCCGGGACCGGTTTTTCATCCTGAGTCGACTCAAGGGGCCCTCACAGGGCCTCGGGACCTTCAAAAAACGATCGTTTTTTGAAGGTCCCGAGGCCCTGTGAGGGCCCCTTGAGGCCGAAAATAGCAACAACAAAAAAAAAAAAAATCCCGTCGTGATTTTTTCACGGCGCGAGGGGGTCTGGGATCGTGTCTGGGGAGTGCGAGAGCTCTGAGAAAGAGAAAGAGAGAGAGAGAGAGAGAGAGGGCCGCTCTTGCGTGCGCCCCGCCTCTGCGCCGAAGCGGCACCCCCGCACCCCGACGCAAAACCCGCCGAGAACCCACGACAGGGCCCGAAGAAACCTCGAACCTCGAACACGAGGAACTCCCGAACTTCCCCCCTCGCTCGCCGCCCAGTGAGAGGGACCCCGAGATCCGACGTGGCAAAAAAAACAATATCGGACAACTCACGTCCTGAGCCCCGGACCTCTCCTTTCTGCATCATCTTTCGAGCCCGATCCATCTCTGAGGGAGTCCCGGGGCCCGAAATAATCGATCGAAGACACGCCCGTTGCCAAAAAAACGCAACGCCAGGATCTCGGGGGGGGGGGGCCGCTCTTGCGCGCGCCCCGCCTCGGCGCCGAAGCGGCACTCCCGCACCGCGGCGGCCGGCACGCCCGCCAGCGTGAGGGCGGCGCCGCCGGCCGCGCGCGCGAAGCGCGGGGAGGCGCCGCGCCGCAGCGGCCCGGGCACGCCGAGGGCGCCCCAGCTCTTGACCTATCGGGGGAGGCGCGGCGGCTCCGGAGGGCGCGCTCCCAGACCTCCTCCTCCTCCTCCTCCTCCTCCTCCTCCTCCTCCTCCTCCTCCCCCTCCTCCTCCTCCCTCCTCCTCCTCCTCCTCCTCCTCCTCCGAATCCGGACGGGAGGTTCTGGGCTGCTGTCGGCCTCCGGGGGCCCTCGCCGGGCCTCGGGGCCGCCAAGAAAACGGCGCAGGACGAGAAGCCGGTCCCGGGGAAGGGGTCCAGACCTTTTGGGGGTCGACGTTGCGAGAGAAGCACGACGTCGGGGGTCTGGGGGTGTAAAGTAATGGAAGCTTGGGCATCGCCTGCGGCCCCCAGAACTTTGTGGAAGTTTTGTTCCAGTTCTGTCGACCCCCCGGTCGACCATCAGCAATATGGCGCGAACAATCACTGTCCTCCTCCTCCTCCTCCGCCTCCACCTCCTGCTCCTCCTCCTCCTCCTCCTCCTCCTCCTCCTCCTTCTTTTCCTCCTTCTCCTCCTCCTGCTCCTTCTCTTTCTTTTTTTTCTCCTCTTTTTCCGCCGTAGTCTTCGCAGCCTGATTGACAAGGGTCGGCGGAAAGCCTGGAGGAAAGCGAGCAGATGCACGAGCCTGCTCGGGAGGCTCGGAAGGGCACGAGCCTCCGGAGAGGCTTCCTAATGACGCCCTCCACGAAGGCACAGAGCATTGCTCAAAAGGCCGCGGCGCTTCCGGGAAGCCCCGCCGCCTCCCGAAGAGGCCCTGCTCCTTCTCGCTTCCCCCCGAATTTCGCTTTTCACAACGGGCGTTTTGGCTGAATTCTGGGCCCCGGGACCCTCACGGATCGATCCGGCCTGCCAAAAGGACGCAGAAAGATGGGGCCAGCCGTAATTCCCCAGACATCCGGCTGCTCCAATTTTTTTGGTGCGTGGACCCCAGAGGTCCCGACCACTTCCCCTGGGCCGGTTTTCCGTCCCGAGTCGTTTTTTGACGCTCCCGAGGCCCGGCGAGGGCCCCCAGAGGCCGAAAACTGCCAAAATCCCGCCGCTCCAATGTTTTGGGAGCGTCGGATCTCAGGGTCTGCGCGATGCTGCAACTTTTGCGCAACGTCGGCTCTCCGGGTCCCCGAGGGCACAGGACACCGGTCGGAAGGCCGCGGCGCTTCCGACCGAAGCCCCGCGCCGCCTCCCGACCCAGACCCCCGACGTCGTGATTTTTTCACAACGTCGACCCCCAGAGGTCTGGACCCTTTCCCCGGGACCGGTTCTTCGTCCTGAGTCGTTTTTTGACGGTCCCGAGGCCCGGTGAGGGCCCCCGGAGGCCGAAAATTAGGAAAACCTTCCGTCATGATCTTTTCATTACTCTAGGGGGTCTGGGGACACCGGTCGGAAGGCCGCGGCGCTTCCGACCGAAGCCCCGCGCCGCCTCCCGAGGAGGCCCTGCTCCTCCCCGGGGGGGCGCGCCGCCGAGGCTGCTTAAAATTCGGCGCAGGGCGGGGTCCCGACGGCGCCGCGCGCACCTCTCACACCCCGTTGCCGTCCTCCTGCTCTCCTCCTCTCTCCTCCTCTCTCCTCCTCCTCCTCCTCCCTCCTCCTCCTCCTCCTCCTCCTCCTCCTCCTCCTCCTCCTCCTCCTCCTCCTCCTCCTCCTCCTCCTCCCCTCCTCCTCCTCCTCCCTCCTCCTCCTCCTCCTCCTCCTCCTCCTCCTCCTCCTCCTCCTCCTCCTCCTCCTCCTCCTCCTCCTCCTCGCGCCAAGTGCGTGAGCAGTCGCCGACGGGAGGGCGCGGGGAGCCTGTCGGGCCCGAGGCTCGCAGATGGCAGACGTGCTCGTCGGATCTGCACAGGTCCTCCGGCCTCGGGGTGCTTGCCAGCAGCCGCGCCGCGCCGAGGGCGCTCTCGCGGGGTGCCCTGCTCGTCCCGGATGGCCGCTGGCGAGCCGAGTTACGGCCCGACACTCACAAGCGAAGAACAGTATAACGTAAACTTGTTCGCTGTCGGGGGTGCATGTCCCAGGACGGCTGGCAAGTTTATATACCCTTGCGGTGGCACGTCAAGGTATCAACTTTCCAGCCGCCATGGGGCAGCGCCCCCGGCGACAGAAAAGTTTATTTTACAGGGTTCTTCGCCCGCTAACGAAAAGCAGATCCCTGGCGATGGGGAGCGGATGGAGACCCTGACTTCGGACCATCAAAAATAGGGGGAACAATTCAAACGATAGTTTCTTTGATTTCTATCTGGTTTTTCAACGGGAGGAGGACATTGAAAACATGTCTATTACACGTCGGCTTCGAATATTGCGTCGAATACTCATTTCACGTCGTCGTCAAATGTTACGTTCAATAATCATTCGACGGCGACTTCAAATTTTACGTCAAATGCCAATTCTACGTCGGCTTCAAACTTTAGGTCAAATACTCGTTCCACGTCAGCTTCAGGCATTGTGTCTAATGCTCATTTGACGTCGGGTTCGAATGTCAACTACACAATCCACGTCGAATTTAAGTTTAACCATACAAACTCAATTTCACGTCTGGCCCGTCAGCTGTCCGGGCGCGCGCCCGAGAACGGCAGGAGGGGAACGATTACAAACATAGTTTTCCAGCCCGCGGCCGGTTTTTTCTGATCATCCTCCGGGCGCCGCCAACGCAACACGACCCCCGGTCATTTATTAGTCGTCACATCCTACATTACTTTGGGCGATGTCAGAGGTAGGGCGGAAGTGTCAGCCGGGCTCCTCTGACGTCGGTTTCCGCCATACTTTGCCGTCGTTGTTTCCGCCATACCTTTGCGGAGCCATCTGCCCTACTCTGCAAGCAAGCAAGCAAGCAAGCAAGCAAGCAAGCAAGCAAGCAAGCAAGCAAGCAAGCAAGCAAGCAAGCAAGCAAGTCGAGTACGGACAGCGCGTGTCGCACGCTGGGGCAGAAATTGCCGCCCTACGGCTTCCTCTGGTTCGGGGTGCCTTTCCGACACAAGTCTTCATCTGACAATCAATCAAAGTACGGCGGATCCGAAGTCACGGCGCCTCCTCCTCCTCCTCCTCCTCCTCCTCCTCCTCCTCCTCCTCCTTCTCCTCCTCCCCCTCCTCCCCCTCCTCCCCGAGACCAGGCGTTGCAATCTGTTCGCACCTGGCGCTTGCGCCCGCTCCCGGGCCCTGGTGCCATCACAGATCGATCCGCAGGGCCCTGGCCGTGCCTTCTCGCGGTGCCGTTTGTTTCTCGCGATGCGTTGGACCTCACAGAGGAGGAGGAGGAGGAGGAGGAGGAGGAGGAGGAGGAGGAGGAGGAGAGGATGAGGAGGAGGAGGAGGAGGAGGAGGAGAGGAGGAGGAGGAGGAGGAGGAGGAGGAGGAGGATTTTCTGGAGGTTTTCCAGCCTCCGGGCGCTCTCCGGCAGCTCCGCCTCGCTTAAAAAGCGCGCCCCCGGGGGTGCCCATCGCCCCGAACGGCCGCCGGAGGCCCGAGCGCGGGCCCGAAGTCCGAACCTCAGGCGCGGCAGCCACCTCCTCCTCCTCCTCCTCTCTCCTCCTCCTCCTCCTCCCCTCCTCCCTCCTCCTCCTCCTCCTCCTCCTCCTCCTCCTCCTCCTCCTCCCTCTCCCTCCTCTCTCCAACTCCTCCTCCAACTCCTCCTCCTCCTCCACCTCCCCCTCCTCCTCCTCCCCCTCCCGCTCCTCCCCAGGCCCGAAATCCGAACCTCCCAGATCCCGGGCGACATGATGTTTTTTGAATCCGAGCGTTTTTCCCCTCGGTTCTGGGGCCTGCACGGGGAAGGGGTCGGGACCTCTGAAGGGGCCCCGGGACACACAAATAAATAGACACAAAAAGCAAGATTGCCAATATGTTCTAATCTTTTCTGGGTTTTTGTCTTCCCCCCACTTCCTATGTTTTCCTGCATTTTCTGGGAAATCGACGATTAATTGTGTCTGTGTTTTTCCCCTCCTGAACCTCTTGGGCTGCGCATTGAAGAATCATTGCGGCGGATGTCAGGGACCACCTCTCGTTGTGGAAGACGTCACGGCGGCGGATTTATTGCCCTTGTCGGCCTCCGGGCGCCCTCGCCCAGACCCTGGGCCGTCGACAGAACGACTCGGGATGGAAACCGGTCTTGGTGAAGTGGTCTACAGTAGGAGCTCGACCACAAGAAACCTTCCACGAGACGCCCAACCCTGGACCCCCAGGACGTACATGGATTTTCGGTATGGGAACGTCACGTGCTCCATGGCAAAACCATCGAAACCCAAGAAACCCAGGGCACCCAGGAGAGGAAGAGGAAGAGTAGGAGGATGGATGGATGGATGGATGGACCCGGCATTGCGCTGTGAGTCTGAAGACACTCACCCCTCGAGCTCACGAAACGAGAGATCGCTCGGGGACACCTCTGAACAGTCGTGCGATCTCCTCGGACCGAACGAGGTCAGGCGTGTGGGCGCGCCGTGCAGCTGCGATCACCATGGATCCGAGCCGAGCAGGACAGGAAACAGTAAAACGCACGCGGGCGGGGGGTGATACCCCTCTGGCCCCTGGGGGCCGAGCTCAACGGCGCGGAGGGCACCGAGCAGGCTCCCTGGACACCCCAGAGGCCCCGAGAAGGAAAAAAAGAAACCAGGCCGAGAAGGGGCCGACGGCGCGCCCTTGAGACCAGGGGCGGCGAGAGCGACTGGAGGGGCCTGGTGCTACAGCGAAGCTGCTGAGCTCACGTCGTCACGTAGGTCGCCCATCTCTTTCCGTAGGATCCGCCGCCCGTGTCAGCCCTTCTGGCCGTAGTGGGTCTGGCGGTTCTTGTCTGGCATTTTCTGGGCCATCGATTCCAGGTGGCCCGTCCCCATCTTCTGGCGGCCGCCCAGAGCGTCGAGACAAGTCTCCTGAGGGCCGTCTGGGTTGACGCTCTTCCGTGTGATCTGGTCCGCGTTAGCGAACTGCGTCCTGGTGTACTGGTCGTCGTGGCGCGTGCGCAGCCTGAGGTGGAGAAGAGCTCCGAGCCCGTCTCCGTGCAAACGAACTGCTGGTGGAAGGTACGCGGGAGCCCGTGCCCCTGCGGGGCCTCCTGCACCGCGAAGGCCGACGGGTACTTGAACTCGGCGTGAGCGAGGTACAAATGTGGTGAGTTGGGGCTTCGCCTCGGGGGACTGCGCCGCCTCTGCGTACATCTTGCCCGCTTTCCGAGCTGCGACGATCGTAGTGGCCGTGGGCGTGGTATCGATGCTGATCCATTCCGAGTCCGCAAGGTCCCTGAGCAGCTGGGCGTGCAGGCGCACCATCTTGGGGAGGAACGTGACCGCCTGCTGCAGGTCGCGCGTCTTCAGGGCGCCCTCCCGACGAAGCACTGTTGCGCCGCAGCGGCCCGAGAGCGCCGCGGGCGGAGGGTAGATCAGACGTAGGTGTGCCAGCCGAAACCGCTGATGTAGGAAGATGCTCCCCCCGAAGCTCTTGTTGGTCCAGCCGAAGGAGAGCTCCCAGTGGTAGTCGTGCTGAAAGAGCGGTGGCGGCCGTCCAGAGTCGGGCGGCGGCTCATCCCAGGGAAGAGGATCTCGCCCATGTAGTGCTCGCGGGTGATCTCCTGCGCGCGGGTGCTGCCCGTCAGGTAGAGAGGGATGTACTCGTAGAGCCTGGTGTGCGGAGCAGGTTGCGGCCCTTGCTCCTGACTGCGTCCGAGGGCGCGGCAAGCGCCTGTCGACGATCGGGCGGCCGCCCGCGGCGAGAAGCCGACGGCCGCGAGCAGGAGGAGAGCCGCCATCATGGGCCTCTGGGGCCCCGCGGGCGAGTGGGCATCGCGCGCTGCTCCCCTGGCGGGCGATGAACAGGGTAGGAGGGCCGCGTGTCCCGCGCCCTTCAGCCGTGGCGGCGGCTAGTAGTAGTAGTAGTAGTAGTAGTAGTAGTAGTAGTAGTAGTAGTAGTAGTAGTAGTAGTAGTAGTAGTAGTAGTAGTAGTAGTAGTAGTAGTAGTAGTAGTAGTAGTAGTAGTAGTAGTAGTAGTAGTAGTAGTAGTAGTAGTAGTAGTAGTAGTAGTAGTAGTAGTAGTAGTAGTTAGTAGTAGTAGTAGTAGTAGTAGTAGTAGTAGGAGGAGGAGGAGGAGGAGGAGGAGGAGGAGGAGAGAGGAGGAGGGAGGAGGAGGAGGAGGGGGAGAGAAGGAGGAGGAAGGGTGCCATGAGCCCTTCTTGGCATGGGCTTCCACTGTAGGGAGCTCGGCGATGCGCGCCCTCGCGGCCATTCTCGCGCCCTCGCGGCAGAAGCCAGCGGGAGGGCAGCTGCCTGTCCCAGTCGCGCTGCGCGGCGCGCGGCTATCAGTTTGAACGTGGCGGCAGAAAAGCTGCCAGGGGGCGGCTGCATTTCATTCGTCTGCCCAACCCAATCATTTTGAGGCCCCCGGGGGGAGGGGTGGGGTGGGGCATTTTTTTACCGCCTGCACCAATTAGTCGCCACGGCCGCAGTCGCCTCGGGTTCCTGGTCAGAGCGCACCCTGGGAGGTGTCCTGGGAGCAGCGGTGCTGGCGGCTAATATTACCTTGCACCGGCGGCGCGCGCAGCTCTGCGAAGGCCAGGGGGGACTCCATGGAAAGCCCGGGGGCTTCTGAGGAGGCTTCTCGGAAGGCCGCCCCCTCCTCCCTCCTCCCTATCCCTCCTCCCTCCTCCCTCCTCCCTCCTCCCTCCTCCTCCTCCTCCCTCCTCCTCCTCCTCCTCCTCCTCCTCCTCCTCCTCCTCCTCCTCCTCCTCCTCCTCCTCTCCTCCTCCCTCCTTCCTCCTCCTCCTCCTCCTCCTCTCCTCCTCCTCCTCCCTCCTCCTTCTGCCTCCTCCTCCTCCTCCTCTCCTCCCTCCTCCTCCTCCTCCCCTTCCTACTCCTCCTCCTCCTCCTCCTCCTCCCTCATTCTCCTCCTCCTCCCCCTTCCTCCACCTCCTCCTCCGCCTCCGCCTCCTCCTCCTTCTTCTCCTCCTCCCTCCTCCTTCCTCCGCCTCTCCCTGGTGCGCCTCGCCCACTCTTCGCCCTCGTGCGACCAGAGCTCGGGCCAGCGGCACCAGCGGCCGCGGGTCCGCGGGGAGGTCCGGCGAGGAGTACGGGGCGGCAAACTCCTGCGAGAGCAGGGCGAGCTCCAGCGCGTGGTGGCCCTCCTCCAGCGGCGGCAGCGCACACTGCCACACCAGATCCTATGGGGGAACCGGAGGGTACACCGATACCGCTGCTCCCCGGACCTCTCCAGGGGTGCGTTCTGACCAAAACCTCGAGGCGAATCCAGCGGTGGCGATGCTGGCCTCGCAGGAGGCCCAGCGAGGCGAACACGAGACAGGTGCGCAGCGGCATGGGCACCAGCATCTCGCGGCGAATCCAGCAAGTGGCGGCGAGGGCCTCGCAGGAAGCCCCGCGAGGCGAACACGAGAATATCGAGGCGGGTCCAGCGGTGGCGGCGAGGGCCTCGCAGGAGGCCCAGCGAGGCGAACACGAGGCAGGTGCGCCTGCGGTGTGGGCACGTGCCACTTCCTTCTCCGAGGTCCCCGCCCTCCGCCCGCAGTGCCGCGTAGGGCTGAAGGTCGTAGCCGTCCACCACGCACGCCAGGTTCGGCGGCGACGCGGCGAGGAGCTGGTGCGAGGAGGAGGGGGAGGAGGAGGAGGAGGAGGAGGAGGAGGAGGAGGAGGAGGAGGAGGAGGAGGAGGAAGGAGGAGGGGGAGGAGGAGGAGGAGAAGGAGGAGGAGGAGGAGGAGGAGGAGGAGGTGGAGGAGGTGGAGGAGGAGGCGGAGGGGGAGGAGGAGGCGGCGGAGGAGGAGGCGGAGGAGGAGGAGACGCCTGGTCGACGCACAGCCCACAGGTGCGGCGGCAGCACACGTCGTAGCGCAGCTGCCCGCACGCGCCTGCGGCGGCGTACTCCGCGCAGCTCGCGGGCGCCTGGCCTGCGGGGGCCAGGCACCTCCTGCAGAGGAGCAGAGGAGCACAACCCAGACTGCCCATCGAGTCAGGCAAAAAAACACGACGGACAAGTTTTCGCTATTTTTCCCCGCTGGGGGCCCTCACCAAACCTCGGGACCGTCAAAATTGAACAAGCGGTTCCAGGGAAGGGGTCGAGACCTCCAGGGGTCGACGTTATGACGTTAAGAACAAATCATGACGTCGGGGGTCTGGGAACACAGCACACGGTCGGGAACTTGTGCTCGCGTGTCGCGGTGGCGGCCCCAGCGACACGCGATGCCTTGCGAGCGGACAGTCAGCTCGTCGCTCTGCTCCGCTGGGCGGGGGGCTCGGACAGGCTCGGGACCTTGACGCCTGGGGACCGCGATGTGGACAGCGTGTCGCGCCGAAGCGCGGTGGGCCAGAACGGGCGGCGCGACACCGAGCTCTGCGCGGCTTTCTTGGATCGGCCGCGTGTTGGTTCTTCCTCCATCCTGGACTCGTCGTCCTCGCAGGGCCCCCCGCCAAAGCCCGGCGCGAGGGGCGGCGCGGCGGGGAGGCGCATGCGCACCGTCTCGTTCCCGTAGCCGCTGACGTGCTGCGGCTCCGGGACCACGAGCGCGACCTCGCCGCCGTAGATGTGGAAGGGGTGCTCTTCGCTCCACTCGACCGCGTTCACGGTGACGCTCACGGTGGCCCGGCCCGTCGGCATCGTCGCCGGGACGGCACACGCAAGCCAGCCGGTGGACTCGACCACCGCGGCGGCCTCCAGCGCGACGCCAGCAGCGGAGAAGCGGCACAGCATCGGCAGAGATACCTCGAAGTCGGCCCCGTGGACGTCCAGCCGCTTGCCCAGCCACACCGCGGGGGGGTGCACGTGCTCGATGGCGGGCACGCTCTCGAAGCGAAACTGCAGCCCGGTGACGACCTCGTTGAACGGCGCTGCAGCGAAGTAGCGCACAGAGATGTTGGCCACCAGGGGCTGCCCGTCGAGTGGACCGATGCTCAGACACCTGATCTCCGTGCTGCCCACCACCGCCGGTGTAGATCTGTCGCTGTCGCCGAAGACGCACGCCGCGCTGGCGTCGAAGTCGAGGTGGCGGCCGCGCAGCGTGAGGGGCGTGCCGCCGGCAACAGTGCCCGACAGGGGGAACGCCGTCTGGAACTCGGGCCTGCGGCGCAGGGCGATGCGGAACGCGCGGTCCTGCACGACGCTGGGCTGGCTGCGGCTGTGGTCCCAGGGCAGCACCACGCGGAAGGACACGTAGCCACCCACCTGCTGGAAGGAGGCGGGCATGTCGCAGATGAGGCGGTCCGCGCTGAGCTCGGCCGGCTCCACGCGCACCCGCTCGTCGAAGAGGCACTGCAGGCCGGAGGCGAGGTTGTGGCCCAGCACCGTCACCGGCGTCAGGGTCTCCACGAACGCCGCGGCGGGGGCCACCGCCAGCACGCGCGGCCGCGAGGCCATGGCGAGGCTCGCGTGGCCGCTGGAGTAGTGGATGCCGTCGCTGGCGAAGCTCACCTGCACCTGCTGCACGTCCTGGTCGAACAGCGGCACCTGGCACCGCACGGCGTGGGGGCCCAGCGGACGCACGCCAGTGCCGCCCACCACCATCGCGCCGAAGCGGCAGGCCCGCCCTGGGCGGTCGTCCAGGTGGCGGCCGAATACCGTGACCCACTGGCCGGCCCTCGCCTCCACCTCGCTCGGGTCGACGCCGTCCACCTCGGGCAGGTGCTCGAAGCGGAAGCGTAGGGTGTGCTTCGGCGTGGCCTGCACGCCGGCGCAGAAGATGTGAACGGGCACCGTCGCGTTGCCCGTCATGTTCGGCAGGACGGTCTCCACCAGCGTCGGCGAGACCACCTTCGTGTCTGGCGCCTCGACCTCGCCGAAGCGCACCTTGCAGTCGGCGAAGTCCTCGAAGCCGCTGCCCTCCAGGTCCACGCGCAGCTGCCTGCTGCCCCCGGTGTATGCAAAGGGCGCGTACGGCCGGGGGAGCACCCTGTGCACCTGGGCGACGGGCCTATAGGTGAGCTCGTGCAGGTCCGAGGCGGTGCGATCCGCAGTGCTCACCACCTGCATCGTCGTCGTCTGCTCCACAGCCGGAGGCACCTTGCACTCCGCGCGCGTCTGCCTGCTGTACGGGTCGACGACGGCGGGCACGTGGATGTCGCCGAAGCGGCACCAGAGGCTCCCTGGAGGCAAGCTCTGCCCCTCTATCAAGGCCTTGCTCCCCCCCGTGACATACGTGGCGTTCGGCCCGATGTGCCCCACGCCAGCGGGCTCGTCGATCCGCAGCGCCACCCGCGCGGAGGAGTCGCCAAAGCGGTTCGCCACGGACAGCAGCAGTGGCACGGGCTCGACCCACCACTTGGACAGAGCTCGCGAGGGCCCGTCCAGCAGCTCGCACGACGCTAGAGAGTCGCTTAGCACCGCAGCGGGGAATCGTATGCCAGGCGCGTGCGACGATGCGCACGAAATCGGCGCCGCCGCCGCGAAGCCGCTGCCGCGCAGCAGGATGTGCTGCGACCTCATGCCCCTGTGGACGCTCAGCGACTCTGCGGAGAGCAGGGTGGGAGCTGGCCGAATAGACCACCACATCACGTTGCTGGATGCGCGCGATGGGAGGCAGACGACAGCCACGGCGATCCTGCTGCCGACGGCGCCGATGCTCCCAGGGATGCTGCACAGGAGCTCCGCCTCACTGCTGACGGTGGCCGCCGCGGACAGAGCGAGGCCCTCTGGGCGACGAAGCGCCTTAGCACGCCCGAGATGGGATATTACCGATAACTGGGTACGATGCCCAACAAGCTACGTTGTCCAAAACCGACAGCGGCCGCTGTTGGGCTGGCGATTTTCTGCTTTCAGTAGCGTGGACCACGTCCACGGCGACACCGACGGCGAGTCCTGTTCAACATGGGCAGGAACTGCTGTCGGTCTTTGTCACCAGCCCATGGGCGTGAATGGGTAGGAACATAAGCGACAACTGCTGTCAAGCTGCCGTCCCAGACATGCGACGTCCCGATTTTTTCAGGACGGCGTCCCTGGAAGTCCCGACCCTTTCCCGGGGACCGGCTTGTCGTCCTGAGTCGTTGTTGACGGTCCCGAGGCCCGTCGAGGGCCCCCCAGGGCCGAAAATAGCCCAAAAAACTCCCGTCCGGATTTTTTAACGACGCGATCATGTCTGGGAATCGACTGCTTTTTTTGTTCGACGCGATCATGCCTGGGAATCGACGTCCAAAAACAACCGCTTGCATCCGGCAGAACGCATCCAGCGACAAGCACGCCGATCAGCGAAACCATCCGGAGACCGCGCTGCTGCACCCGTGCGCCGGTGTCGAGGGACCGTGCAGAGACTTCCCGAGTCGACTCGTCAAGTGGGGCGTCCTCCCAGTGCCCGACCCCGACGTGCGACGTCCTGGTTTTTCCAGCACGGCGCCTCTGGAAGTCCCGACCCTTTCCCTGGGACCGATGTTTCACCCTGCGTCTTGTTATGACGGCCCCCGGGGCCCCGGCGAGGGCCCCCAGCGCCCGAAAACGGCGAAGAACCTCTGACTTTTTTTTTTTTTTACGATGCGGGCAGGTCTGGGGACGCTTCGCTCGTGCCGAGCGCCTCGATGGGGTCCCAGCCCCCACCGCCGACGAAGGCGCACTGGCAGCCGTCGACGAAGCCCTCGCCGACGACCCGCAGCGCCGCACCGCCGCCGCTCTGGCCGGCCGCCGCCTGCAGCGCGCGCAGGCGCGGCGACGCGCCCACGTCCACCACGCCCGCCGAGCGCCAGTGCACGCCGTCCGGCGACAGGAGCAGCTCCTGGGGGAAGAAGCAACACCCAGACAGGCTTCTTGTAGCGCCCTGCACAAAAAAGCCGGGCGGAGGTGTTTCGCCGCTCTCGGGCTCCGGAGGCCCTCGCGGGGCCTCGCGGGGCCGTCGAAAAGCGGGTGAAAAACCGGTCCTGCTGGGGAAAGGGTCGGGACTTCCCCGGGGGCGCCGTCCTGAAAAAATTAGGACGTCGCACGTCTGGGGAAAAAGGCATACAGTCGGCCCGTGTCCTAAGGACGCGCGGTAAGGATGCAGGGGCCTTGGGCGCCCCTTCCGAGGCTTCTCGATCGCGGCGCGGCCAACAAAAGTGGCAAGGGGTGGACAGAGGAGGCAAGGATGCAGGAGAGCCCAGAATCGAATCAATGAGTCGGTTCGGCGATCGAAATGAATCGGATCGGCGGAAATCGGCAGCGGAGTCGGGAAAAGTCAATCGGCGGACATCGGCGGGCTAGTATGCCTCCAATGAGAAATCGGAGCCCAAATTGGAACCCCAAGTCGAATCGAATCGGAATCGGAAGCCATCGAAGTCGAATCGAATCGGAGGAACCGAAACGAGCCCTGAGGATGTAAAGGGGTGACCCTTGGGAGGGTCGCCCATCCTCACTATGTGGGTCGATTGTACAGTCATGAGTCGTCGCGGTACCATCAGGGGGCGCTGAATCAAGAACGGGGGGGCTTTTCTGGCCACGGCCGGCTTCGACCAAGAGGTTCGGCCAAGAGGTCCCCCCTCCAGCCGAAAGTATGATCTAGGAAACTATCATTTGAGACATCTGGGCCAGCTTCATCCTCCCCCTCCTCCTCCTCCTCCTCCTCCTCCAGCCGCCGCCACGGCCCAGACACCCGCGAGCGGCCCATCCCCACCCACAGTCAACACAGATCTTTGACGTGTGGAACATAGGGCGCATCGGCGGGAACGGGGCCGCTCAGGGCGGCGCCGTGAATACTCACACAGCAGTCCGCTACCGTACCCCCGCCGCGTTGATGTTTCTTCCATGCTTCCTCTTACATTGCTCGCTGTGCCACACCCGCCTCTCCGCCGAGGAAAGCAACACGAGGATAGTGTACCGCAATGTGCAGTGGGCAGACTTCATCATCCTCGAGAAATTTTCGATGCAGATGGCCAACGGCGACGTCGACGGAGCCAATGGGACGGGCAGGGCAGCGCGAGGCACGGATTACACGAAGTACCAGCTGCCAAACCAACAATGTATCCAGCACAGGTGGAGGAAGGTGGCTGGCGTCCCCAATCCATGCGGAATGGCAGTACTACTGAATAAGGGACTCAGTGGGAGTGCCCCGAGAGCGGCTACGACTCCGACGACGAGCGGCATCACAGGACGGAATGGCATGATTACAGTCAGTATGAGCACAATAGACGTGGCATCGTTCCCCATCTTCATACAACCGAGGGGCACGGCCGTCAACCAGAGCGAGCTAGACAAGTGGGGTCACAACAGCCTCCCCATCATTTCTGGTGACTACAACTGCGCTTTTGGAATACGCCGACACACAACAGGGAAGAAGTACTTCGAGGCCACCGAGTCTAGCGACACAGAGGAGCCCGCCCTAGAGAACACCACCAGCTCGCAGAGGAGCGACCTCAAGGATGACAACCACTTGGCGATCGGAGACACCTTCATGGGGACAGGGAACGCCTACTACAGAAGCGCCTACACAAACAACTTAGACCATGTTGCTTTGCCTGCGAAAGCCATATGCAGGGTTCGCCAACCTTACCTCGCGGCTGACCTGGCGCGACGTCTCCAGTTACACGATCCCGCGCACCTGACCGACCACATGCCGATCTAAATGAAACTAGATGGGCACAGCGCCAAGACCCACAACAGCAAGCTCACGCCACATGCCAACTGCGACCTGATGATGATCGCTTTCACACGGGACTACAAACGCCTGGAGCTTTCAAAACAAGAAGAGGAGAAGACCCAGCAGACAGACGAGATGGAGTGGCGCAAAGCTTGGGACCAAGGCAACGTTCAAAAATGGTGGGATATGCTTTCTAACAGTATTCGTGAAGCCAGGCTGGAGACGTTCCCCAAGCAAGAACAAGACAACATCGGATACGACGAGATTAGGACGTTGGAAATCGATCGACACCTCGAGCTCCCGAGAGTTACGAGTGAAGGGGGGCTCACAGCACACAGTACCCATCGAGACCTTCTCAGCCCCGAAGGCGCCCGACGAGCAGCCCGACCTCAGAGCGGTGATGGAGAAGCCGACGACGACAACAGCCTCACAAACGAGTACGTATGCACGCACGAGATGGGGAAGGAGGGCGAGGGCAGATGCTGCGGAACGACATTGAAGAAGAAAAACAAGTTCGCCCCGCGCACAAGGATGACAAGAACACAATGGGATGACGGACCGAGCCGACCGCCACAGCTTGGAGGAATGCAGTGCGAGAACATTGATTGGCAGGAGTGGATCGCCGACCGCGCCTCCATGGTGCACACCCACGAATCCTTGTACGCAGACGACTTTGGAGATCATACTAGCCAGGACCGTGCAGGCCAGAATCGATACCTACGCAGAGCCCCCAAACGACGTGCAGGACCAGCACGAGGAGTGCTAGCGCAGGCACCGTGCATGTGCAGCGACAGGCGATATCACGACAACGAGCACGAACGGAAGTACAACCCAGAGAACTTCAGCAGACGGCATGATGATTTACACGTGCTGATTCGCCTGGAAGTACCAGCCCCACCGAGAACCACTCGGCCGCAGTCGTTCACCCAGGACAAGGGCAATGAGAAGCTCGTGGACCAAGGGCAACAAATCCTTCATCGATTCGAAGTGCCACGAGAGTATGGACGAACAGAAGCAACCTCTTCCAGATCCATGATCGTCAGCACGAACATGGGTACATGGTGCCGTACAGCAGTTGCGAGCAGAGCACCATGTCTGCGCTACGGGCTCAGGCGACCACAACGACGAAGAGAAAGTGCTGCAGCAGAAGACGTTGCCCAACAACGCGCAGATGATCAGGCAACTGTCAGGCAGCCAATGGGACCGCTTTCTGATCTACGGCGAGTACTCAGCAGTGACCGCCGCGGAAGCAGCGGACACAACCTATGCGGAGAAGGCCCAGGAGAAGAACAGCATGGACTTGGGGACACCGCACCTCCACATCGGCGTAGACTACCACCTGGAGACGGGGCTCAACGACAGGTCCGACGAAACCAACAAGACGATCCTGAAGGAGGATTGCTCGTTGACCCACGTGACGGGCATGCAGGGATTCGGGGACATCGCCCCGTATATCAAAGTCAAGAAGGCCTACAGCGAAGGGGGACAGCCATACAGATGGAAGCTCTAGTCGACGCTCAACAGCCTCGCATGCAGCCCTCGGACACCCTCATGGGAGGACCAGATCAACGCCTCTCGCGAAGGAAGCCAGGAGCCGCCCGTCAAGAACAGCCGCACCAAGCAGAATGGGAACCTCAGGAAAGCAGTCGAGGACAAACCCCGAGCGGCAGAGGCAGTGCAGATATTCTGAGCACCGCCGTTATCAGGTCTCGGGAGGAAAGTACAGGCAGCATTGTGAGCACGTCAGATGGCGACGGAGAGATAGAGATGACAGAAAGTAGAGAGCTAGCCAAGGATAGCAGTCGCAAGGCGATGGGCCGCTGCGACGCACCACCACCCGTGATGGTTCCTCTTGCTTTCTTTTACGCGAAGTCGTTAAGCACCTGTCTCGGGAATTTAGGCGCCAAAGGGTGCCCCGTTTTTTCTTCACTCCCTGGTTCCCGAGGCGTCCGCCTGTTTCGGCTTGTTCTCTCGTGGGCCTTTTGGTCCGACGCATCACGGGAACCTGGACCTCGGGACCAGACACGTGCACAACGACGGAGCGCGCAGCAGCTTTAGATAGAGGAACTTGGGGGGGGGGGGAGTGTGGGTGGGGTGCGGGCGAGGCGGTGGCGGGAATACTGCTACACTGGGACACGTCCCGAGCCAGGGGCGATTGGCCAGACGGCCCTAAGTCCCTGCCGTTTCCATAACAATTTTGTTTTCGGGAAGGCCCCGCGCTGCAGCGGGCCGAGAGGCTAAAAAGCCAGGGTCCCGTAGGCGACCCGTCGATCCGCCGATCTAACGTGCCAGCAGCAATTAGGTTCGTATGCAGTCGAACCCCAGACAGCTGCCAAGGCTTCCGACTCCGACTCCTCCTCCTCCTCCTCCTCCTCCTCCTCCTGCTCCTCCTCCTCCTGCTCCTCCTCCTCCTGGGACATCGTCCTCGTCCTCGTCCTCGTCCTCGTCCTTGTCCTCCTCCTCCTCCTCCTCCTGCACTGCACTGCACATCTCCATCGAGTCCTCCTCCTCCTCCTCCTCCTCCTCCTCCTCCTCCTCCTCCTCCTCCTCCTCCTCCTCCTCCTCCTCCTCCTTCAAGGCTGCTGATGGACACGCCGCTGCGCCATACGCAGTGCGTGCAGCAGCTGCGCACTGCAACCGACGTGCCGTCCAGGCACGGTTCCAACTAGACTAGGCCAGCTTCCTGGAAGTTTCCTGAACCAAGCCTGGGCACATCTCTGGCGTTAACGCTGGAACGGCGCAAAAGGTCATGACACTGGGCCAGCTTTCCAGCAAGTTGGTTAAGAAACGCTGGCCCAGCTGTTCGGGAAGAGGTTTCCCTAACCAGATGCATCAGACCGAAAACTAGAGCCCATTCATACTCCAACGAGGCATTTGCTCCAGCGTCTTGACTGTAAGCTTCCGAGGCTCCGCGCGGATTTCTTGGATCTGGAGACCCACGGCGGCTCCTCTGGCGCCGCCCCTGGCGCGCTCCGCGCGCCAGGGAGGGGGTCCAGCGCCGATCCGAGAAATCCGCGAGCAGCTTCGAACATTCATGTTTATGACAAGTTTGTGTCGTGACGAACCGGGCGTTGGTTTCTGACACCGCGTGGATGGTTCAACCCTGAACGATCGGGGGCTTTTCGATCGCCAAATCGTTCCATACTGGCCGCCTCTGGGCAACTTGCGGCGTTCAACCTTGAACACAGCTGAGGGGTCGCTGCCGCGTCGGCACGACACGATCCTATCACATAACCATTCTCGTCTTTATCAGGGAAGTGCCATGACCGAAACTGTTCCCGAAATTCTGCTCGAGCGTGACCGAAAGTGGCGCTTGTAACTTGCCCGGGTGTGGCCGAGTTTTTGGTTCGAAACCAATGCGATTCTCAATTGCGGTCACACTCTCGGTCGCACTGCGTTTTCGGTCACAACTTGGGGCAAGCCTCTTCGGCTAATTAGGGGCCGGGCGCCATGATACCTACCGCAGCGCGGGTTCGTGCCGTGTCGACCCTGGCGCTGGTTCCTGACACCGCGGGGATCGTTCAACTCTGAGCGATCGGCCGTTTCCGAAATGTCAGATCGTTCAACGTTCAACATCCACCGACTCTGGATCGCTGGCGGCGTTAAGCGTGGAACGCCTTCGGCGGGGGTCGCTGCCGCGTGGACACGGCGCGAACCTGCCATTGGAGGCGGACCGGGGCTTTGAGCTGGAGGGCACCCCATTAAATCGGCGAGGGGGGATGGGGTTAGGTCGGGCATGTCCCCCTACAAGCGGATTTTGGAGGACAAATGAAAATTAGTCAACATATGTGCAAAAATGGTCAAACATTGTGCAGGAAATCGCCCCCAGATTATTATTGGACTATTTTCGAATATTCCTCCTGTAGAGGGGCACGCCCGACGTAAGGATGGGGCCATATCCGCTCAGAAGCAGTCCCACGACCCCTCCTGGGATCCATCTGGTGTAGTGTTTGTTCCGAAAACAACCCCTGGTGACCGAGAAGTTCCAACAAAAACCTCCTCGAGCCCAGAACCTCGAAAACCTCTTCCCCCCGGTCCTGCTCGTCGAAACCGGTGCTTGTATGACCAGAATGGTGTCATGATAAGACTGGCTCAGGATAGTTGCGCTTCAGGATTTCCAAGGAGCATCCAGCGGCCCTCGTTTTTGCAGCCCGTGCGGACCATTCGGCAATCTTGGGGACCCTGGAAATCGTGGAACGCATCCTCCTCCTCCTCCTCATCATCGTCGTCGTCGTCGTCGTCATTATCATCATCATCGTCGCCGTCATCCTCATCCTCATCCTCATCCTCATCCTCATCCTCATCATCCTCATCCTCACCCTCATCCTCATCCTCATCCTCATCCTCATCCTCACCCTCACCCTCACCATCATCACCATCCTCCTCCTCCTCCTCCTCCTCCTCCTCCTCATCATCATCATCATCATCATCATCATCATCATCATCATCATCCTCATCCTCATCATCATCATCATCATCCTCATCCTCATCCTCGTGACCTCTTCTTCCTCTGAGTGCCGGGCCTCCAAGCCTGCCGCACGCCGTTGTTCCGGGGCCCCCACACCGTGTGGCGACGGACCCGGCGGTGCCCTCGGAATCCGCAGAGAGCCCTCGCCGCAGGGCCCGCCACCCCGAAGGCCCCACCGACGCACCACACGGTGTGGTCATCACACCGTGTTTGGGGTAGAGGCAGAAAAACGCCAGAATTAAGTCGGGCCTGTCCCCCTGCAGGTGGATTTTCGACGAAAAAATACCCCTAACAAAAATCCAAAAATAGTCTGGGGACTATTTTTTGCATATGTTTGGACCTTTTTGGTGAATTTGGGAATATTTTTGATTTTTCGTCAAAAATCCCCCTGTAGGGGGACAGGCCCGACTTAACGCCAGAAAAACAAACTGCTGGCGCTCCGCGCGGGGATTCCTTGGATCGGCGCTGGACCCCCCCTTCCCTGGCGCGCGGAGCGCGCCAGGGGCGCGGCGCCCGAGGCGCCGCCAGGGGGCCCCAGCGCAGATCCAAGAGATCCGCGCGGAGCGCCAGAAGTTTACGTTCCTGGCGCTTTCTCTTCTTCGATGGGGGGCCACCGATTGGCTTCTCCCTCGAGCTCCTGTCGGGGATCTTCTGACCCAGGTCAATCCAAACCCGGGTCAGCAGGAAACCAAAAACTGCAATGCAGGAACAAAAAACTGCAACGCAGATCTTCGCAAACCCGGGTCAGCCAATAGGCGCGGCCGCCTCGCGGCCTCGAGCGGCTCGCTGACCGGGGTCAACCAGAGGGGGTCTGCGCAGGGTCCTGCCGGATCTGGCGCCGGGCTGACCCCTGTTTGCACTGACCCCCGTCTCAAGGCTCCCGATCCTGCTCGCCCGCAGCGCGGGCCGGGAACGTGGGCAGCTGGCAGCCGCCCACCGCGCGCGCACCGCCCAGCAGGCGGCCCGGCAGCGCCTCCACAGCGCTGCGGGGCGCGGCCGGCAGCACCTCGCCCGCCTGTCGATGACTCTCGGCCCCAGACCCCTCGAGTACAGGGCAGCTTATACATGTGACCTTCAAAAATATAGGATTCTAATACTTGATTAATTCATGAGTGAATTCATGCATGAACTCATCGTTGTTTTTAAACTAAATCCCTGCATGTTTAATACATGGTCCGCACGCGGAGCATGTATAAAAAACGGCACTGTAATGAAAAAAGTCGTAACGGGAGTTTATATATTTATATATATATATATTATTGTTTTAAATGTTTTTACCTAACAGCTTTTGCTGATAGGTTTCTAGTGGTCTCAAAAGAGAGCAGCAAATGACTCCACAGGGGGGTCTGGGCGGCATCCCGGGAGCTGTGTCCGAACTCGTGTCCGAACTCGTTTTTCGCAAACAATCACACACGTCGTGCTCTTCGACCTCCCAGAAATCCATCCCGGGCCACATTCTGAATGCCCGGAGCCAACTGTAGGCCACTTCGTGCTCTTCGACTTCTCAGAACTCCATTCCCGGGCCACATTTTGAATGCCCGGAGCCAACTGTAGGCCACTTCGTGCTCTTCGTTCAGAACTCCATTCCTGGGCCACTTCTGAGGCACTTCGTGCTCTTCGAGTTCCCAGAACTCCATTCCCGGGCCACATTTTGAATGCCCGGAGCCAACTGTAGGCCACTTCGTGCTCTTCGAGTTCCCAGAACACCATTCCCGGGCCACATTTTGAATGCCCGGAGCCAACTGTAGGCCACTTCGTGCTCTTCGAGTTCCCAGAACTCCATTCCCGGGCCACATTTTGAATGCCCGGAGCCAACTGTAGGCCACTTCGTGCTCTTCGAGTTCCCAGAACTCCATTCCCGGGCCACATTTTGAATGCCCGGAGCCAACTGTAGGCCACTTCGTGCTCTTCGAGTTCCCAGAACTCCATTCCCGGGCCACATTTTGAATGCCGGAGCCAACTGAGGCTGGCTGGCAGGCTGAGGCTGAGGCAGGCTGAGGCTGAGGCCTGAGGCTGAGGCAGGCTGAGGCTGAGGCTGAGCAGGCTGAGGCTGAGGCTGAGGCAGGCTGAGGCTGAGGCAGGCTGATGCTGAGGCAGGCTGAGGCTGAGGCTGAGGCTGAGGCAGGCTGAGGCTGAGGCAGGCTGAGGCTGAGGCTGAGGCTGAGGCTGGCTGCTAGGCAACTGAGGCTGAGGCAGGCTGAGGCTGCAGGCTGAGGCTGAGGCTGAGGCTGAGGCTGAGGCTGAGGCTGAGGCAGGCTGCAGGCTGAGGCTGAGGCAGGCTGTGGCTGAGGCTGAGGCTGAGGCTGAGGCTGAGGCAGGGCTGAGGAGGCTGAGGCTGAGGCTGAGGCTGAGGCGCTGAGGCAGGCTGAAGGCTGAGGCTGAGGCAGACGCTGAGGCTGAGGCTGAGGCTGATGCAGGCTGAGGCTGAGGCTGGCTGAGGCTGAGGCCGAGGCTGAAGGCAGACTGAGGCTGAGGTTGATGCAGGCTGAGGCTGAGGCCGAGGCAGGCTGATGCTGAGGCTGAGGCAGGCTGATGCTGAGGCAGTCTGAGGCTGAGGCTGAGGCAGGCTGAGGCTGAGGCTGAGGCAGGCTGAGGCAGACGCTGAGGCAGGCTGATGCGGAGGCAGGCTGAGGCTGAGGCTGAGGCTGAGGCTGAGGCTGATGCAGGCTGAGGCTGAGGCAGGCTGAGGCTGAGGCCGAGGCTGAAGGCAGACTGAGGCTGAGGCTGAGGCTGAAGGCAGCTGAGGCTGAGGCTGAGGCAGGCTGAGGCTGAGGCTGAGGCAGGCTGATACTGAGGCAGGCTGAGGCTGAGGCTGTGACTGTGACTGCCGTTGCCTCTGCGACTGTCATCGCGAATGCGACTGCGACTGCGAGAACAGGAGAATTCTACAACTGGATTCTCATCTGGATCTTAAGGGGACTGTTTCCATATATGCTTCTACACATCGCTGTCAGGTTGCTTTGCCGGGATAATCGGCCTCTGGGGGCCCTTATTGGCCCTCGGGACCGTCAAAAAACGACTCAGGATGAAAAGCCGGTCCAGGGGAATGGGTCGAGACCTCCAGGGGTCGACGCAATGAAAAAATCATGACGCCGGGGGTCTGGGGAGCAGGGCGTGTCCCAGACCCCCTCGCGCTGTGAAAAATCACAGCGGAAGGTGTTTCGCTAATGTCGGCCTCCGGGACCTTTACCTGGCCCTGGGGCAATCAAAAACGGCACAGGATGAAAAACCAGTCCCGGGGACGGGGTCCAGACCTCTGGGGTCGACGTCGCGCAAAAATCACGACGTCGGGGGTCTGGGGTGCTGGCGCCAGCGTGCGTTCGCCCCCACTTCCAATATTTTCCTACATTCTCCTGGGGGTCGACGATCAATGGTGTCTGTGCTTTTTCCCCTCCTGATTCTTGTACGACGCGATGAGATCTGGGTTAGGAACTCTCTCAGACGGCCGGGGGCACTGCCGAGCCTTCCGAGGAGGCCTTCTCCTTCTCGCTTCCCCCCTCGCTCGCCGCCGAGTCAACTGAGGACGCACGGGCCTTGGCCGCCGACGGAGCGTTCCGAAGGACGCCGCCCGCCGTCAGGTTACCCCTGTGGGGCCGCCCAGGGGAAACGGCGAAGGGCGGGCCGCGGGGTCAAGGGCGCAAGGCTACCCTCAGGAACGCTGCTGGTTCACGCTGCTCCCCTCGTACTGAAGGGGCCACAGCCCGGAGACGATCTCGAGCACCGAGAGAAGTGTCGAAACGGTGTCGAGCGAGTGTCCTCCCCAGGGCCCGACACGTGAAAGCCCTCGAGTTTCGGTCCTTTCTGGGTGCTCGAAAATCTTCCTGGTGATCAAGGCCTGAGAAGGTTGGAACATCATACCCTCAGGAATGCTGTTGGTCCTTATTCATTCCAGATTCTGACTCTATAGCGCCAACGTGCGTTCGTCCACCGAAGCCCTCGGGTACGACGCGGGCGGTGCACGATGACGGCCGACACGGGCCGCGTGCCGTCTTCGGAGCTGGACGGGGCTCAGCACACATTGGGCCACAGTCGGCCCGTATCGTAAGGATGCGCGATAATCGGCGGTGGACAAACCTCCCTTTAGTAAACCTCCCTTTAGTGAAAACGGCCTGGGACCGAAACCGACGGACCTGGACGTACCTGGACCCGCAAAAATGACGGCCGCGACGCCCTCTCGCGAACCGAAAACGGCCAATTCCTTCATCGACGTGTCAGGGTAGGAGGTCTGTCCACCCCCGAGATAAGGGTGCAAGGGCCTTGGACGCCCATTTCGAAGCTTCTCGAGCGGGGCGCGGCCAAACGAAAGTGGGGCCGACACAGGCCGCGTGCCAACAGCGGAGCTGAACGGTGTTCAGCACACATTCCCAGAGATCCGATGTCGTGCTTTTTTCAATGCGGGGTCCCTCGAAGTCTCGACCCATTCCCCCGGGATCGGCTTTTCATCCTGAGCCGTCTGTTGACGACCCCGGGGCCCTGCGAGGGCCTCCAGAGGCCGAAAACTGCCAAAAACCTCCCGTCCTGATTTTTGTGGACGACGCGACCATCTCTGGGTCTGCAGGTCCATCGAGCCTGGGAGCCCACGGCGCAGGCGGCGCCGGCGGGCAGGCCAACGCCCTCGCCCTCGCCGCCGAAGAGCGGCAGCACGGCGCCGCCCCCCGCGCCGGCGGAGGCGTGCAGCATCTGGAACTCGGGCTCCCGCGGGCTGAGGGGCCGGAGCGGAGCCTCGCGAGCGGCGAACACGTGAACCCAGACGTGCTCGCGTCGTCAGCAAAAACCAGGACGGGAGGCTCTTCCTGGTCTTCTTCGGCCTCCGGAGGCCCTTTTTTGCAGGGCCCTGGGACCACCAACAAAAACAGCTCACGAGGAGAAACCGGCCCCGCGAAAGCCCTGACTTCGGATCCGCCCTACTTTGGGGAACTTCGTAAGTAGGGCTTGGAATTTCCGCCTTACTTTTCAAGCCCCGCTGATGCCAATTTCCGCCCTACTTTTCTGTTGCTGTTTCCGCCCTACTTCTGTGGGTTTTCGCCCTACTTGATGCTGGGCGCAGAAACTTCCGCCCTACTTTTTCGGCTTCTCATAGGTGGATCTCCGACGCAATTTTACGCTGGAGAAAAAGCAAAAGTAGGGCAGATCTGGAGTCAGGGAGGGGTCTGGACGTCCGGGGACGCCGTAATGTGGGATGACGATTAAGAAAAAAAGAGGGGGGAACGATTAAAAAAATAGTTTCCCACACCGGGGGGGACCGCTCAGAAGCAGGGCTCGCCTGTGCGGTGTTTCGTCACCGGGGGGGGGCGCGCGCCCGAGGACGGCGGGGGGGGGACGATTAAAAAAATAGTTTCCCAGCCCGGGGCCGGTTTTTTCTAATCATCATCCCGGGCGCCGCCGCGTGAACACGACCCCTGGTCATTTTTTAATCGTCATCCTCCATTACCGAGAACATCAGGACGTCGCATGTCTGGGATTAGGTCGGGCCTGTCCCCCGACAGGGGAATTTTCTACGAAAAATGAAAAATACCCCAAACATATCCCCAAAAGGTAAAAAAACTAAAAAAAGTAATCCCCCGACTATTTAAAACTATGTTTTAATTTTTTTTTGAGGTCTTCTATATTTTTCGTCGAAAATCCCCCCGTAGGGGGACAGGCCCGACTTCAGTCTGGGACCGTAGCCGCGCCCTCGCGGCCTGGGCTCCGAGGCGCGAGCCCGTGGGCACGCGGTGGCACGGGCGCGCTCCGCGCGGGGCAGCCGCGAGCGGAAGGCGCCCCGTATCCGAGGGGTCGCGGCCCAGGGGCCCGAACTGCGACCCTGAGATCCTGGCGTTGCAATTTGTTTGCAACGGCCGTTTTCGCTTGATTTCGGGCCCCGGGACCCTCACAGATCGATCGGGCTCGAAAAGTGACGCGGAAAGATGAGGTCCGGGTCTCCGGGCGTGATTTTTGCGATGTTGCAGTTGTTTCGCCACGTCGGATCTCAGAGGAGGCCGCGGACATGGACACGTTTTTTTCGGCCGCGAGAGCCGGGATCCCCCAGGCGTGCAGGGACACGGGCGTCCTCTCGAAGCGCACCAGCAGCGCGCCGCCGTTGACGACACCGCCCGCCGCCAGCCGCAGCACGGCCTGGCCGCCGACCACGTTGCCGGCGGCGGGGCAGTCGCACTGCGCCTGGTCGCCCCCGAGCAGTGCCAGCCGCGTGCGCGCCGCGCCCGCGTGCAGCGGCGCCGAGCCGTCGCCAACGTCGCGCTGCGCCGCTGTATCGAGGAACACGCACTCGAGGGCCTCGTCGTTCCGGAAGCTGCCCCTCAGCTGGAGCGTGCTGTTCTGGTCGACCAGGCAGCGGGGCGGCTCCACGGCGTCCAGGCGCAGCTCCTCGAAGAGGTCGAAGGAGGAGTGGCCCAGGGCGAAGAAGGCCAGCTCTGGATCGGAGGCGAGGGTCAGCACCGCGCGGGCCGGCGCCAAGACCGCCGGTGTCTCGCACAGCACCACGTCGCCTCCCACCTGCCGCGCGGGCCGCGCCGCCAACGCCGGCAGGTCGGCGAGCGCCGTCGGCAGGGCGGGGAGCCACGCGCACCAGTACTGCACCCTGCCGTCGAACGGCCCACCGCGGACCTCCACCCACGTGCCGCCCTTCGTCGACGCCATCGGCGGCACGACCTCCACAACCTCTCGGGCGATCGATGCTTTACCCGTGCTCCTGCTAGCGCCCCGGCCCCACGAGGAGCCAGAGCGGGAATATGGAAAAACTCCGGGCCTCCGATGCCACGCCTCTTCTCTTCATACCTAGGAGAAGGAGGAGGAGGAGGAGGAGGAGGAGGAGGAGGAGGAGGAGGAGGATGAGGAGGGAGGAGGAGGAGGAGGAGGAGGAGGAGGGGAGGAGGAGGAGGAGGAGGAGGAGGAGGAGGAGGAGGAGGACGAGGAGGAGGACGAGGAGGAGGTGGAGGAGGAGGAGGAGGAGGAAGGGGAGGAGGGGGAGGGGGAGGGGGACAAGCTAGGTGCGCTCGCGTCATATCTGACCTCCGACCCCCCTACCAACCCTTACCATAGCGTGGGTATCCGATATATATTTGTTTACACAAGCGGATGTTGAGCAGGGCAATGATCGCGAGAGGGTACGCGATGCATGGTAGAACACGGCATGGCATGGCGTACAAGAGCACGGCAGAGGGTAGCATGCCATAGCATGGCGTGGCATTGCGCAGTGACGCCTTGCATCCCGAAGCATTGCAAGGTAAAGCATGGCATCGCACAACGGCGCAGAACACAACACCGCACAGCATGTCATGGCATGGCGCCGGGTCCCTGGGAGGGTAAGGGGATCGTCTTCGAAAGGTCTGGGCCGGTCTGGAGTCGTGGCTCCATGTCTATCTCCTTGGGCTCCCCGAAAAGCTCCACAAAAGGCGGGGCTGATGCAGACCACCCGCTGGCTCTGCTTTCAACATCGCCTTCTCAAAGCAGAGACGGGGCTCCCGCTTGATACTTCCTGAAGTGTGGGGCTTCTGCGGCCCCAACAATCAACGAATCGACACCGAATGTGTAATCACTTAAGCGATGGTTTTTTCGGGGGGCCATTTTGTAGATTTTGGGGCGAAGGTCCGAAAACGCCCGCGCTGCGGCGGAAGCACGATTTGGAACAACCAGAGGCGCAGAAATGGGGCCAGCGCTTCAGCGGGAGCAACATTTTGAGAAAAACTGCAGAAAACCAATTTCCTGGGAATCCTGCGCAAACAATATATTACGCGGAGGGGGGCTGGACATCCTCCGGATGTCATCAGAGGAGAGGAGAGCAGAGGAAGGAGGAGGAGGAGGAGGAGGAGGAGGAGGACGAGGCTCCCCTGGCGCCCAGAGCGGGGGGCAGCAGCAGGGGCATGGATGCAACGCCGATCGCCGACCTCTGGCACCGGCACGTACGTGAACTGCACGTCGAGCGCCTGCGTCCTTGGGGACACCGAGAGGTACCGATGCCGCAATGGGACGCACAAATACATACTGGTACTATCTTATGTCCTTCTTGGAGGCGCGCGTCCGATTTAAACATATAGTATACCCATCTTGTACTACATATCGATTCTCAAGCGGTGTGGCCAGAAAGCACCCGCCACGACGCACGTAATAAAAGATTTCTCGGTGCACGCGTCCCCCCTGGGGGGGCGACGTACACATAGTATGAGGGTGCCTGGGTGACGCCGACGCTGCTCTCCGGACTCTCCCGGGGTGCGCTCTGACCAAGACCTCGAGGCGAATCTGGCGGTGGCGAATTCGCCTCGAAGTCCTGCTCGTGTCCCACGTCGCCACCGTGGCGACGAGGGCCTCCCAGGAGGCCCAAGAAGGGGAAACGACCCAGACATGCGACGTCCTGATTTTTTCGGGACGGCGTCCCCGCAAGTCCTGACCCTTTCCCCGGGACCGACTTTTACATCCTGAATCGTTTCTTCACGGCCCCGAGGCCCGGCGAGGGCCTCCAGAGGCCGAACAACGCAACAAAAAAACAAAAACTCCGCCCTGAATTTCTTACGGCGCAGGGCAGCGGCGGGATCGGCAGCCTTGCCTCCTCGGAGTCCTGCTCGCGCCCCCAGCGATCGTCGCAAGTCCCGACCCTGTCCCCAGGACCGGTTCGTCGTCCTGAATCGTTCCTTGACGGCCCCGAGGCCCAGCGAGGGCGCCCGCAGGCCAAAAGTAGCCAAAAACCTCCCGCGTCCTGGGTATCTTTTGACGACGCGAGCATGTCTGGGCTTGCCCCCTCGGAGTCCTGTTCGTGTCCCCGTCGATCGTCGCGTCCAGCGCCAGGGCCGCCACGGCCTCCCCCGGGTGCGCCGGCGGAGCGGCGCAGGTCGCCTCGGAGGCGCTGCGGCGCCGGCAGGGCACCGACGCGGCCTCGCCGGCGCCCTCGAAGGAGAAGACGAGGCGGAGCTCCACGTCGGGGAGCCCCGCGGGCCACCTGGGCGAGGAGCCATCCGAACGAGCTGTCTTGCTTCGGCTTCGGTCTCTGGGGCCCGCTGTCGGGACCCGGGACCATCCTTTCCTGCCTCCTCCTCCTCATCCTCCTCCTCCTCCTCCTCCTCCGCCGCCCTCCTCCTCCTCCCTCCTCCTCCTCCTCCTCCTCCTCCTCCTCCTCCTCCGCCGCCTCTCCTCCTCCTCAATACTCTCCTCCTCTTCTTCTTCTTTTTTCTTCTTTCTTCTTATTGTTCCTTATGTTCTTCTTTCGTCTTATTTTTTTATTGGTTCTTTTCTCTCCTCCTCCTCCTCTCCTCATCGAATAAGTTGTCATCCTTTCTCGGTGGAAAGATTCCTCGTCCTTCTCTTCTTTCCCCCCCTGTCAACCCAGACTCCCGACGTCATGACTTTGTCTTGACGTCGACCCCCGGCGGCGGTCTCTTCCCCCATTTCCCGGGACCAGTGTTCCGCCCCGACGGCCCCGAGGCCCAGGAAGGGCTCCCAGAGATCGAATACTAGCGAAGAGCCTCCCGTCGCGATTTTAGGAGGAGCAGGAGGAGAAGAAGGAGGAGGAGGAGGAGGAGAAGAAGGGGGAAGGAGCAGGAGGAGCAGGAGCAGGAGCAGGAGCAGGAGCAGGAGCAGGAGCAGGAGGAGGAGGAGGAGGAGGAGGAGGAGGAGGAGGAGGAGGAGGAGGAGGAGGAGGAGGAGGAGGGAGGAGGAGGAGGAGGGAGGGGGGCCTTATGGAGGCGCAGGGGCACTGACCCCGCGCAGCGTGGACTGGGTGCCACCGTGGCCAGCCGAAGCAGCGGCGCCACGTTCGTGGGGCAGGCGGAAGGCCCGGTCTCCCACGCGGGCCGCGCGCGTCCGTTGGGCACCGGGCAGCCTCTTAGGGTCGGGCGAAAGGGGGGGATAGCAAAGGGGGAGTTTGAGAATCAGCTCACGTAGCTGATTTTCCCGGCGCCTCCCGGCGCCGGAGGCGGCTATGTATCGAGGAATGGGCCCCTCGGTGAGGCCGAAACCAGCTGCATGCAGCAAATTTCGTAACCCCCCCTTTCCCAATCCCCCCCTTTCGCCCGGCCCGAGCCTCCGCTGAGGCGAGGTACTCGAACAGCGGGGCGTCGTCTGGGGGCTCGCCCGCTGCGTCCGGCGACGTGGTGATCCAGAAGGGCACGCGCCCGCCGGCGGGCTGCGGCGGGCTGAGGCACTCGAGCGTCATCCAGTAGCCCTCCTCGGGGTCTCGGGGTGTTGCCGGAGGTGCCCCTGGGCCCAGGGTGCCGCCAGGATTTCCAAGGAGGCCCCCACGGCCTCCAAGATTGCGGTGCCCCTCACGAGGCACCCCTCACGAGGCAACCCTCACGAGGTACGTACCCCCAACTTGCCGCTCCATTTTGGAGCCCTCAAGCCCCTGGGTTCCAAAGGGCCCCAGGGGCTCCAGAATGGAGCGAAAAGCTGGGGGCACCTCGGGCCGGGGGTACCTTTAGCAACCCCCGATCGGCGGGCGGGGGGCTGCCAGCCCCTGAGCAAGACGAAGTCGGGACAAGGACCAAGTCGGGTGATACCACCGCGGGGTCTCGAGGCTCCTGTGGAAGCCCAGCGGTACCGATACCGTTACTCCCAGGGAACTCTCCTGGGGTGCGCTCTGACCAGAACATCGAGGCGAATCCGGCGGTGGCGACCCTCCAAAGGGGAACAACAAGGGAAGGGTAGCGGCAGCGGTATCGTAAGACGAGCGAGAGGACGAGAACAACATCGGGTGAGAATGATGATCTCGGAGATCCGGCGGCTCTGGGGGATGCCTCGGGCGCCGCGGCCTTCCCGGAGCGTTCCCGAGGGCTCTGAGAGCGCTCCGGAGCGCTCTCCTCGTCCGAGCCCCGTCCGACTGAGACCCTGGCGCTGCCACTTCTTCACCGCAGACGTGCTCGCCCGGCCTAGGGCACCGGGGCCATCACCGATCGACCTGCCTCGAAGAATGC